ATTGAGGTGTTTGGAATAAGTAAACTTGCCTAAGGTTTTGCCCTGCCTGTGAATCAAACTCAGCCCTCTCACTTGTGAGATAATTTACATCTATATAGTATCAGGAGGATGTTACTGCAATACAGTGCTGGGGTAACACCAGACTGTGTATTAGCCTGGACTGTGACTTCAAAGTCCTGACATGAGGCTTGAACCCACAAACTTCTGACTCAGAGACAAGAATGCTATTGACTGAGTTATATACAGAGGTCCATATTGTTCAGCATTGTTCTGGTCACCTGAGTATGACATAAACACATCAGTTAGGAAATGTTACAGGCTTCACGATGAAGTATGCATTTGTGGACAATAGCATCCCACGTGAAGATATGTTGGATCTTAGATTTCCCAATGTAATAAATTATCTATTTTATTTAATATCAATAAAATGTGATCTTCCTTTACTTCTACAATACTATACCTCAGGATGGTCCAATCTTTTGGCTGCCACGGGCTGGATTCCTTATGGGAGGACGTTCACCAGGAAGGGAGGGAGCAGAAGTTGGAATGTAAATAGTCGCAGGCCGGATAAAATCACCCACCGGGCTGATTGCCGCCCGCGAGCCGCCTGTTGAACCACGTTTCTATACCTAATCTACAGAAATAAGTAGATGCTAAACCTTGGCCATTATACCTGTAAATAACAACTGCTTATGTGCAATTCAAATATTTGTGAAGGGTAATTATCGCAATAAACTGTTGGTAGTATTACCATGAAAACACATTATCTTGTATCTTTTTATCTTAATTTCAATTACATCATAAAATTACCCGACATAAAATCATTGTGTGTCAGCCTGGCTCAGTTGATAACATTCTTGCCTCTGAGTCAGAAATTTGTGGGTTCAAGCCTCACATCGGGACTCTGAGCTTATATAGACTTGGCTGATGCTTCAATGCAGTGCTGGGGGCCTAACGATGAGATATTAAACAGGTCTTGTCTGCCTACTCAGGTGGATATTAAATATCCTATTGCACTATTTGAAAAGAGAAGGGAGCTTCTCCCAATGTCCTGACCAACACTCTCCCAAATAAAAGACTGGTCACTCATGCCATGGCTGTCTGTGGGACATTGATGTGTGAATTTTGACTGCTGCATTCACCCATAAAACACACAGTCACCTGTTTACAGTAAACAGTATATCCTGTGCAAACTTTGGTACATCCTCTTGACGTGAAACGTGCTGCACCAAATGTAAGGTCTATTAAACTCCGTTATTGCCTTCACCTTCCATCAAAGCAGATTCCACTAGATCTTCTAGCAATATCTGCTTCTTCAACTCGATTCCTGCACCAGACACGTCGGACTGCTTTTAGGAAACCCACTATGACTCCTTCATTTACCCAAACACCCCAGCCAACTATGACCTGCTCTTCCCAGGCATGTTTGTTTGCAACTGAGCAGATGCAACATCTGTCCTTTTGGTACTCCCACAATACTGTCCTAAACTCTCTTTTCCTGTGAGACAGCGATTCACACCAGTTCGCTTATTCTCATATACTGTATCTATTGATTTTGTTGCAATCTCTTCCATGTCATCAAGATCAAAAGCAAATTGTGTAACCAATTTGTCAAACAACTTGCTTCAGATGATCAACATGATCCTGACCTCTGTATGATTCAGCTGCCACTCCCACTCGTTCCCCTTGCACTCTCACTCTGACCTCTCTACCCTTGGCTTTCTACAGTGTTCCAGCCAAGCCCAATGCAAACTTCAGGAGCAGGGGTTTACCTTTTGTTAGGCACCTTCCACCCAACAGACCCTAACATGAACTTTACCAATCCCAAGCCTTAGCTGTTTTTACCGACTTGAACTCAAGTTGGACGCCTTTTAACGGCTTCACCCATGTTTGTTCAACCATAGTGTTTCACAATCTGTGAAAGACCCATTGGATCTTTAAACATGTAATCTCTCCTTTTAATGCCTTTGTAACAGTTATTCTTTTGCCTCTTATCAGTTGCCGTTTTGCATGTGTGCTATTTCCTAATCTTTAAAGATATCAAAGTAGTTGTTGTGCGATCGGCTCTTTCATACAGTCGTATTTTTAAAAATTACCGCCATGTTTCTGTGCCAAGCTGTGTATATGCAGAACGCTGAAATCAGGAGGTTGCTTTTTTTTCACAATCCCAATACATCATGGAGCAATAGTATGAACCCCAGCTCCACATTGTTATATATTTGGGAACAAGCTCATGGGTAGAGACCTTGCTGCTCTTTCATTTTCGGATCTTGTATTCAAATCCCACTCAGTCTACTGGGATGATAATCTCTATCTCTGTCTTTTTATGCGCTGTCTATAAGCATCCTGCTGGCATGGGTTCACTGTACTGTACAGTTAATGGAAACTAAGAGCCCTGGTGACATACTTGAGCAGCAACAGCAGATTAGCTGAGGCCTGGGTTTTAATTCTCCATCTTCCCTGTCCGTCTAGCAAGGAGTCAAAAGTGCACTTGTCATATGTCCAATGACCAATTAGTTACTACCCTCATTCTGGGACAGATAAGCAGCTTCTCTTTGGAGCTCAGTTGCTCTAAAGTGACCTGGAAATGGATAATCAAACTCTGTACAGTAGTATCAGCTACAGAAGCAATGAGAGCCTTATTGGTGCACTGCAATAATAGTGCACAGGCAGTGCAGTTCTAACTGGTTAAACTCCAGCTCTTTGTACGCTCTCGAATCTTCAAGCTTTGTTATAATAATAATAATAATCCTTGCATTTAATATAGCGCTTTTCACGTCGGGAGGATGTCCCAAAGCACTTCACAGAACACACTGTAAAGTGAATTGACTATATATTTGTGGGCGAACTTGGCAGCCAATTGCGCACAGCAATGTCCCACAAACAGTCGTGGATTGAAAATTACCAATTTATTATTGTTTTTGTTTTTTTGGAGGGATTATTATTAGGCGTGTGGAGTAAGGAAACTTGCCCAAGGTTTCGCCCTGCCTGGAATTGAACTCAGGTCTCTTGCTTGCAAAGCGAGTGCTCTAACCACTGAGCAACAGGACTTCACAAAAGACAGACATACAGACATACACACACAGACAGACAAACAGAGACAGGCAGACACACACACACACAGACTGACAGACACACACACAGACAGACACAGACAGACAGACACAGACACACAGACAGACAGACACACACACACACAGACACAGACACACACACACACAGACACAGACACAGACACACAGACACACAGACACAGACACACACACACACACACACACTGGCCGTTTATCTAAACGAGGAAGCGGTTTGCTGGAGGTTTCAGTTCCTTGCCAACCTGCACCTAAACATGGTTTATCTCTCTGGGGGGAGCGTGGGCACTCAATACTAGACAAATGGAAACCATACCAATGCAGAATTCTCAGTTTTTTGGTTTGGAGGCTTTTAAGCTAGATGAGGGGATCCCACATGTTAGATATCTGCCTTACCATCAGCAGGGATAATGCACATCACAAACAGTGGGACATTTTAAAAGTGGATAATGTATTCATCTGAGAAATGTGTGGGGGTAAATTTAACCAGAGTCTAGATTTATTCTGTTTATTGAGCAATTCAGAGCTTTCAGAATTTGGAAAAAATCTTAAATACAGTCTTAATTCTAAATAACAAGAACAAGTTGCATTTATAATAGTGCCTTTCATGTTGGGAAGATGTCCCATGCCACTGGTTAGTCGAGGGTTTGCACCCGAGCAGTGGGTTGGGTTCGGGAGCAGTGATGGCCTAGGTGAGTGGAATTGAAGTGGGGGGAAGATGACCGAATGTAGGGTCAAAGAAGAAGGATAGAGTTCCAGAGAGTGGAGACAGATAGGCTGAAAGCCCTTCTGTCATTGGTGAGGTGGGCAGAGTCGGGGACATGGAGCCAGTTCCTGCCAAGCAGAGGGAGGGGCAGGTTGGTAGATGTTGCAGAAGTAAGGAAAAGCTGAATGGATCAGAGCATGATGTGAGGTTCAAAGAACAGTTGAGAGTTGAACAAAAGAGTTGAACTGAGGTTGCACATCAGCTCTCTGAGGTAGACTGTGCATCTGTGCAAATTGATGCTATCACCACCTGAGGTGAAAAGGAGGAGAGCCTTTGTCTTGTTGACATTCAACTGGAAAAATTTAGCTCTCGTTCAGGACTTAATGTCCAACAGACAATCCGTCAAGACAGCAGTTATTCTGAATGAAACAAGGAAGGGACAGATACGTGAAGGTCGAGCTGAGCGGAGAGGAGGAAGAGAAGGACAGAATGGTCAACAGTGTCGAAGGTGGCAGAGTAATCAAGGACAAGTAGGCAGAGAATGTTGTTTGTGACTTTGACCAGGTCAGTCTTGGTTCTGTGGGAAGCACCACAGTGAGACAGATTTTGAAAGATTTTTCGAAGAACTTTAGAAAATTGACCACAAAAACTGATAAATTCTAGACAATAGAATTAAATCTAGACTCAGATACAATTTTTCCCTAATGGCTCGTTAGCAGAGCCTGATAGTAGATATTGCTCAATTCAACTCTGCTTAATGCTAATCACGTTTTTACTAAATTATAATAATCTTATAATAATCCTTGCATTTGAGATAGCGCCTTATCATGTCTTTGTGACGTCTCAAAGCGTCACAGAATATACTGTAAAGTGAATTAATTGTATATTTTGTGGGCGAAACGCAGCAGCCAATTGCGCACAACAGTATCCCACCAACAGTTGTGGATTGAGTGACAAATTAATTTTTTTTTAAGGTATTATTACCCCCAGAAAAGCGATCTGCCAATTGACTAATAACCGGGTTCCCAGCTACTGCTGGGTAAACAGAGGCGTGTAGAGTAAGAAAACTTATCCAACGTTTTGCCCTGCTGGGAATCGAACCCAGGTCTCTCACTTATGAGGCGAGTGCTGCAACCACTGAGCTACAGGACTCCACAAACTGTGTCAGTTAGGTTTTTAAATTAACATGTTGTTCGATTTCTTACCTGACTGAGGCAGAGAATCAATAAACTCTTCTATGTTATTTTCCAAGTCAAGAATGTCTTTAAATGGACGTTTCGACCAAACTGCAGCTGCAACCAGTGGGCATTTCTCAATGACATTTCCAAAAACATAGCTAAATTTTTCATAATTCATGGAGTTAACATACTGTATGTCCATGGCTTGAGCAGAATGTTTTTCAACTGCCACAGAAAATAAAATGGAGGGAGTGGCGATGACTTGCAGTCTATTTGCAACTCATTTGCAAACTATAGTATTTATTTGGGCATTGAGCTCCAGGCCAATGATCTGTATTGATTGAGAACCAGCATTTCAAAGTTGCTGCATTTTCTAGACTGACAGCAGAGAGAAAGCAGGAGACATTAACAGAAAAAGAGATACAGAGGCATTAATTTCTGTTTAATGCCAAATTTTATAGTTTACAATTCTTACATTAATAAAAGCAAGATACTTCCAGGTGAAAATTCTGGTTGTGTATGCTAATAAACACATGTATTAATGCAACCAACCAGTTCCCTGTGTGTGCTGGAGACAACACTTCCCCAGACACCATTCTCAATGATGAATAACCAGTCACACCATACATCAGACTTCTGCTTGCCGGGATACTGGTTTTAATACAAATTTATTTTTCCCCTTTTAACATTGGAAGGACGTCCTAAACCACTTGATGCTGAGGCTGATCACCTGAGCTAGAACTGGGAGCCGAGGGGGTTAAGAGGGGAAAGATGACCAAAAGTGCGGTCAAAGAGTTAACAACAACAGCAACAACAAGATTCCATTTATAGAGTGCCTTTCACGTCGGGAGGACGTCCCAAGGCGCTGTACAGTTGGGTCGGGACCCGAGCAGGGGGGAAATGGTGAGGGTGAGGGGAGGGAAGGGACGGAGCGAGGAGGGGGTAGAGAGTCGAGAGGGGAGCTGAAGGCACGGTCAAAGAGAAAAGTCTTGAGACCGGCCTTGAAGGAGGAAAGGGAGGAGGCAAGCGAAGGCACTGGGGGATAGAGTTCCAGAGCCTCGGGGCTGAGAGGCTGAAGGCCCGGCCACCGATGGTAGGGCGGTTGGGGCAGGGGATGTGGAGCAGACCGGAGCCAGAGGAATGGAGGGTACGGGCGGGTAAGGGGTAGGGGGATAGTAGGTCGGAGAGGTAGGAGGGAGCAAGGCCGTGAATGGCCTTGTAGGTGAGGATGAGGATCTTGAATTCGATCCTCTGGGGGATGGGGAGCCAGTGGAGGCGAGCGAGGGTGGGAGTGATGTGGTCCCGAAGCCTGGTGCGGGACAGTACACGAGCTGCAGAGTTCTGAATGACCTGCAGCTTGTGGAGGGAGGTGCCGGGAAGGCCGGCGAGGAGAGAGTTCCCATAGTCCAGCCTTGAGGTGATAAAGGCGTGGACAAGCGTTTCAGCAGCGTGAGGGGTAAGGTAGTGCGATAGTCTGGCGACAATCCGGAGGTGATGGAAGGCGGTGCCAGTTGTTGCGCGAATATTAGGGAGAAAGGACAGCTCAGGGTCGACTAGAACACCGAGGTTCCTGACTGGCTTTGAGAGGTGGAGAGTGCAGCCTTGGATGCTGATGGTGTCAGCGCCTGAGGTGCGGAGGCGCTGACGTGAGCCAATCAGGAGGGCCTCAGTTTTACGCACGTTGAGCTGAAGAAAGTTGTCTCTCGTCCAGGACTCGATGTCGGACAGGCAGCTGTCAGGACATCGGTGGTCGTGGAGTTGAGGGTAGAGGAGGAAAGGTAGAGTTGGGTGTCATCCGCATACATGTGGAAGTTAACCCCATGTCTGCGGAAGATGTCACCAAGGGGGAGCATAAAGAGGGTGAAGAGGAGGGGACCGAGGACAGAGCCCTGAGGGATACCGCGCGAGACAGTGTGGGGGCTGGAGGAAAAGCCATTCGTGCAAACAATGTGAAGACCGTGGGAGAGGTACGACCTAAACCAATGAAGGACAGGGCCTTGAAGGTTGAGTTAGGAGGACAAGCGGTGGAGGAGGATAGCTTGGTCCACCGTGTCGAATGCTGCCGATAGGTCGAGGAGGCCTGGTCACAGATGGTCAGGATGTCATTGGTGACCTTGATCAGGGCAGTTTCTGTGCTATGTGCAGCACGGAAATCCGACTGAAGGGGATCGAATAATGAATGGGTGGAGATGAAAGAGCGCATCTGGGAGGTGACAACTCGTTCCAGGACCTTGGACAGGAAGGGGAGGTTGGAGATGGGCCGGTAGCTTGATAGCTGCGACGCATCAAGGGAGCGTTTTTTTCAAAGTGGGAGTGATATTGGCAGTTTTTAGAGGATTGGGAGCAGAGACAGAGTAGAGGGACAGGTTGATGATGTCTGTGATATGTGGGGCAAGGAGGTGGAGCTGGGAGATAAGGAGTGGAGTGGGGATGGGGTCAAGGGAGCAGGTGGTGGGTTTCAGGGATAGGATGAGTTTGGTGACAGAGGGTGGGGAAACGGGTACGAAAGTGTGTAGGGGAGGATGGGTAGGAGTCGGAGTGTGGGAGGGAGGGAGTGGGGGGTGGGTGGATGTTGGAGGGGAAGTGACCGCGGAGCGAATTCCCTTGATTTTGGATTCAAGGAAATCCAGCATCTCCTCGCAGTGAAGGTTGGAGGAGATGACCTGCGCGGGGTGGCGGGGGGGACGGAGGAGTCGGGATGTGGTAGAAAACAGTAGCCTGGGATTGCTCTTCGACTCCAGTATTATCCTGGTGTAGAAGGACGACTTGACCGAGGCTAGAGTGGAGCGGTAGATTTTGAGGAGTTCCAGCCAGATTTGTCGGTGGAGTTAGGCCAGATTTGAGGCAGGTGCGTTAGCGGCCAGACCCGGCTCTTCAGTGAGCGGAGGTGGGTGGTGAACCAGGGGGAGGAGAGAGAGTAGGAGACTGTACGGGAGGTGATGGGGGCAAGAGTATCGAGTGTGGAGGAGAGGGTGTTGTGGAGCAGGGTGAGAGGAGAAGAGGGGTCAGTGAGGGTTGAAGGCCAAAGGGAGGGGAGTTCAGAGGACTCCAAGGCAGCGGTTAGGGGGTAACTTCTTCCAGGGGCGGTAGAAGATGGTGGTCGGTTTGGTGGAGGTGGGGAGGGGGGTGGAGGTGGTGAAGGAGATGAAGTGGTGGTTGGAGACGGCCTTGTCGGTGATAGTGAATGCGAGACACTGAGGCCCCGGGTGATCACCAAGTCGAGTGGGTGGCCGTGACTGTGAGTGGGGGAGTTGATGTGGAGGGAGAGGTTGAGCGAGGAGAGCAGGGAAGAGAAGTCTGAGGAGATAATAATAATAATAATAATAATAATCCTTGCATTTGATATATGGAGCAGGAGGGGGTGAAGTGCAGGTTGAAGTCGTCCAGGATGATGAGGCAATCAGAGCAGAGGCAGAGAGATATAAGAAGTGTCGAAATATCGGAGATGAAGGTGGGAGAGGTTTTAGGGGGCCGGTAGAGGATGAGGATTTTGAGCGAGAGGAAGGAGGGGTGGGAGAGGGTGAGGTGCTCGAAAGAGGGGAAAGAGCCAGAGGAGTAGGGGGATAGGGCAAGTGGTGTCCTTGAGATAAGGGCTACAGCACCGCCACGGCGGTTGGGGCGAGGGATGTGGTGGGAGGTGTAGCCGGGTGGTGTGGCCTCTGTGAGGGGGAAGGTGTCGCCTGGGGTGAGCCAGGTTTCCGTTAAGGTTAAAAACTATTATTCAATGCAAATCGGATGTCCAATGCACTTATGTACATTTACCTTCCACCTGCTGAATTTCATTACATAAAATTACAAACCAATGCTGTGGTGAACCTCAAATATGACAAATATAGTAGAGATTAATAGAATAGTCCACTTTCTTCCAGCTTCACAGCATTGCTCACCACCATTACTTTGATATCCCCAAACCCTCATCTATGCCTGTCACCTCCAGAATTGATGCTCCCAATGCCCTGCTCACCAGTTTCCCCAGCTCCACCCTCTTCAAACTCCAAACCATTGTGAGGGTTAATTAAAATTTGTACCCTGCGCTGACGTAAGGACTGACACAAATGTTGTACAAAAATATAAATGTTTATTAATTCAGGTTAGTAATAGTTATAAGTACAACAACAACAAGATTTCATTTCTAGAGCACCTTTCACGTCGGGAGGACGTCCCAAGGCGCTGGACAGTTGGGTCGGGACCCGAGCAGGGGGGAAATGGTCAGGGTGAGGGGAGGGAAGGGACGGAGCGAGGAGGGGGTAGAGAGTCGAGAGGAGAGCTGAAGGCGCGGTCAAAGAGAGAGGTCTTGAGACTGGCCTTGAAGGAGGAAAGGGAGGAGGTGGCGAAGGCACTGGGGGATGGAGTTCTAGAGCCTAGGGGCTGAGAGGCTGAAGGCCCGGCCACTGATGGTAGGGTGGTTGGGGCGGGGGATGTGGAGCAGACCGGAGTCAGAGGAACGGAGGGTATGGGCGGGTAGGTAGGGGGATAGTAGGTCGGAGAGGTAGGAGGGAGCAAAGCCGTGAATGGCCTTGTAGGTGAGGATGAGGATCTTGAATTCGATCCTCTGGGGGATGGGGAGCCAGTGGAGGCGAGCGAGGGTGGGAGTGATGTGGTCCCGAAGCCTGGTGCGGGACAGTACACGAGCTGCAAAGTTCTGAATGACCTGCAGCTTGTGGAGGGAGGTGCCAGGAAGGCCGGCAAGGAGAGAGTTCCCATAGTCCAGCCTTGAGGTGATAAAGGCTTGGACCAGAGTTTCAGCAGCGTGAGGGGTGAGGTAGTGCCGTAGTCTGGCGATATTCCGGAGATGATGGAAGGCGGTGCCAGTTGTGGCGCAGATATGAGAAAGAAGGGACAGCTCAGGGTCGAGCAGAACGCCAAGGTTCCTCACTGGCTTTGAGAGGTGGAGAGTGCAGCCTTGGATGTTTAATTTTAAGTAATTAAAAGAATACATCACAATAATGCTTACATAACCATGTACAGTTTCACAACGATCTAACCAAATGCTATAGAAGCGATAGAGGAGCAACGTCCAATTTAATGTCCATTTTAATGTGTCCTTTTTAACAGCTCTTCAACGGGTATCCAAATATTGTTGTACATTTCGCAGTTCGATCACCCAAAAGTAAGTATTCAGGTATTATGAGACGTCCAATTTTATTATCCGAAAGTATCCAAGTATTTATGGCAGTCCAATTCTATTATGGCTCGTCCAATTCGATCATTTCTTCTTCCTCAATTATTTCGTCTGATTCTCTTTCTGAATCAATCTCCATTTATACCTTCCGTTAGGCGACCTTTCACTTATTGCCTTTTGCAAGATGGATCCTTTGTAAAAAAAAATACAACACAGCTCTCTCTCCAGCTGCAGACCATTTCTCCATGAGAAAATGACTGATAAGGATTGAAAACAGTTTGTTGTTTATAAGCAGTCTTTTGTTTCTTCTGCAAAACTAGTCACACCCAGCTCCCATCATATGAGATTAATCATATGCCTCAAAAATATAAACATCGCACATATAATTTGAGATATTATTTAACACATTAATTACAGAATTTTACACCATACAGAACTAATTTGAAGTTCCTGGGATCCTTAACGTACACCTGTTTCTTTTTCTTTTGGTCAGCCAGGGAAATCCATTACCATACTTAAGAGTTGGCAAATAAACTGAGATTCAGGTTGAGAGCGCTTCCAACAAAGCCAGGCCATAACGTGAGGTAGGTATGTCCTTCCTAGGAAAAATTGCACTTCCCATTCCAGACCCAAGGACATTTCCATGCATAGGTGACATACATAAGTGGTTCTGTCAGATGGCTTTGGAGATTGTTAAGCAAGGTGATGGATTTACGCTTGTGTCAGACACCCAGTTGACAAAAGAAATACCTAGAATTCACATAGCAGATTATGTCTCTTGTGAAGTAAGTGAGAACACACAACTCTCTGTTGATTGCTTTAATTGAAATAATGTTTCTATTTTTGAATGGCAGAATAGAAGGCATTAGGCCCTCAGATCATTTCTCAGCAAATCCCAGCCTTTCTGGTAGCAGAAAGCAACCCTTTATCAACACATATTTAAAATATTACATCACAACTATCAAGATTAATAAATATATTATTGAGTAATATATTTAGTCAATTTTACAGCATGAGTAAAAACTTTATTTTATTGTAGAATAAAGTGTGTTTTCAGTTTGGCTTGTGTGTTACCACTCTGATTGCTGGGTTAGACGATTGTGGTTCAAACTCAACATACGAACTTGAGGTGATTGTCTGATGCACTTATAATAATCCTTGGATTTGATACAGTGTCTTATCATATCGTTGAGAAGTCTTAAGCGATTTACTGTAATTACCGTAAATTGTAGTGACTGAGTACTTGTAAGTGAACGCGGCAGTCAATTTGCACGCAGCAATGTCCCCACGAACAGTGAATGACACATTATCTGTGGGATTGTTGGCCAGGACAATGGGAGAAGCTCCCTTCTCTTTATGAATACAGTGACATTCTGTTAATTGCATACTCAATTTGACAGTGAAAATTATTCAAAAACCAAATTATTCAATAACCAGACTAAACATAAGAGGAGACTCATCTCCTGGAGCTCGAGCCACACAGATTAATAAACATTTTGTGCTGCACTCTACAAAGTAATGATTTGGGATTACGCGTTTATCTGGACTCCGATTAATTGTTTTTTATACAAATAGCGAGTGGAAAATTATTCAATAAACTGAATTATTTGTATATCTGGTATTCAATTAACCACTCTATATTCTTAGATTAGGCATGAAAATGATTTGCAGTTTCTAAATTCTATTCAATAAACTGAACTATTCAATTATCCAATATTCAATTAACCAAATTGCACTGTAGTGCCATTGGATTTTAATGTCCACCTGAAAAAGCAGAGGATTGGTTTAGTGTCTCATCTGAAGGACAGCACTTCCAACAATGGACTGCAAAGAACCAAAAACACTATTTGAAAAAGAAGAGGTTCTCCTGGCTGCCAATCTTTCATATTAATTGGACACTCAGTCAGTAAAACTCATTAAAAAATATAAAATATACAGATTATATATCGAAATAGCATCAATATACCTAACTCTATCCATTGCACACTGACCTTTTCTATGTTTAGTTCTTTAGATTTGTCTGTTACCACATGCTGTTTTTGTTCTCCATGTTTCCCCTTAGACTCACGCTAACTCTGTGCGTCAGAACACCATTACCACATCCCATTGTTACAATTCCCCTTTTGTCCACTGTTCAATGCCAATTTTCTAATCTGATTGAATCTAGCAAAGTATATGTCCAATGTTGTTATCGCCAAAGTAACTACACTATTTTTTTTATCCCTCAAAGCTTGTATTTCAGAGCTCTACTCATGAACCTTCATCATTTCAAAGGGTGGATGAGGTGGAAAAGGGAGAGACATGCAATCCAAAAATTATCAAATGAAGAGAAGACAGTCACTAACACATCAGGACATCCTCTAGGCCAGTGTTGCTCAAATGTGGCCACCCACATGGTTTTGTGTAGTTATGGAAGCCTTCAGCGCTTTGGGACGTCCTCCTGACATGAAAGGCGCTATACAAATGTAATCTTGTTGTTGTTCCCCCACACAACACATTGTCATTGCTATTGGCTGGTTGTGCAAAGCGATAATTTGTGTCATCGTTCTTAACAGCTAAGCGCCTTGGGATGTCCTCTCGAAATGAGACACAATACAAATGTTAAGCTGATTACAATTGTGCTAGAAATTCTAGCCCCTAATAATAATTATTTTTATGCACTTCTCAAATGATTTTCATTTATTGTGCTGTTCTAATCTTGTCACTGTCTGTGCAACATTTTGTGTAAAAAAAAAGTGTTTTCTCAAATGAGATTTGTCAAATGTACAGAAATAAATCAAAAACATTTGAGATGTGCACATGTCTATATTTCCTTTATTTTTCATATCATGAAAAAGCACAAAAAAGCATACTGTTGAAAGGGATGTTTATGGATGAGACATTATATTAAAGTGCCTGTGCCTCAGATCTAAGTGAACTGTCCAACATAGGCATTAAGAAGAATGGGTGTCAACCTGGCCCAGTTACTAACACTTTCAAAACCCCACTTTGAACTCACAGTGTAGGCTCACACTCCAATACAGTGATGGGGGAGCTTTGTATTGTGGGAGGTGTCATTGGATGAGACGTTAAGCTGAGGCCGTCCGAGCCTGTGACTGTTCAGACGGATGTTAAAGATTACATGACAGTATTTGAAAAGAAGAGGGAGTTTCTCCCGATGTCATGGCCAACAACCCGTCAGATAAAATTGGTTATTCTTTTCATGGCTGTTTGTAGGACCAGACCTTAAAAGAAAACTAATGATGAGATGATTCATTGGGCTGCGAATATTCAATGGAGTGCAAAGACTTTGGCTTTCGGGTCACCTTCCCCCTAAACTCCCTTAGCTATAACATACGTGTTATTCTCCATTTGTTGGTAAACTTGTTGGTGATGAGCAATATTATTTTTTACTCGCCTGTAAGCTTACTGACAAACAGAGAATAGGCAAACCCTGTTAAAAATGGTATCTTTGTTATCTATTACTGGCAAGGCAGATCAACAGGACACATTTTACACGTGGCATTTACACTGACGTCTTTATAATAGGATTCCTGACTCACTACTGAGACCTTACAAGCTGGAAATACCACCGCAGGTGCCAAAACTGTGTTGACTTAACAAACAGTATAACACAAAGATCTGTTTATATAGACTTGCTAACCAATTTATTGCTTAGTTGACCATCTGGCTATTCTCTCTAGAAGTTACTAATCAAAGAAATGCATTGTCACAACAACAAAAAGAGGGATCATACATAAAGTTCCAATTTTATTTAAATGCATTAAAAAGGTAAACTTACAAAAAATTACAATTTTCAGCATCATCTTATTAATATAAATACTATAAAGTTTTATCAGAATAGAAATACAGAAGCACGAATTCACTTAAAAAAATCAGAGCAGTCTAATGTCATGTAGCAATCTAACCACTCTGCTAGCATTGATAGGAAATGTCTCAAGATCAGCACAAGATTATCTGCACTCTCGATTCTACCTCCAACTCTGCGGGGAAATAACTAGGTTCCACTCTGACCAGAATAGGAACTCACTGAATGTGTGCGTGTGTGTGAAAGGGGGAAGTCACAGATGTGAACCGGTGTCCCATACCAACCCAACACAGTTCACAATTAGCATGATACTTAACAACGCACTTCAATCCTAAACTACAGAGGATAATAATGGAAATGAAATTCCATTCCAACAATCTGTCTCTGGAATTTCCATGTGTAGGTGGGATGCATGGAATTTTCAGTTTGGTCTGGATACTCTTAAGCATGGTGATGGGTTTCCGCATATGTCAGACACCCAGCTGACCAAAAAAAGGAATGGAAATAGCAAATGAATGTATTACAGGTACAACAATTTGCCATTTCTGTCTTCCATTCTATTGAGAAAGCTTAGTGCATCATAGTAGCTCGGGATGTGAAATACTGTGCTGTCCACTACAATGATCCATGGATTCTGATGAGCTAACCTATTTTATTTGGGAAGCTCTGCTATCAAATTGAAGATATTTCCCTCCATTTGCCCTGAATGGACTTGTGTATGTATCACTCTATGCCCTTATAGTTTAATCCTCATTCTTAAGAGGTGCATTAGTGACACATGTACACAAATGCTATAAGTACTTCCTGAGAACAGTAAAAATACTGATAGGCAAGTAACATAAATACAACTTAAACAATATAAAAATATGGAAGCGTAAGCCCATATTAAACTTGCAAAGAGAGCAGTAATATGCACCCCCCAACCCCCTACCTATTATTTCATATTTAAAATACAATGACATTGCAATGATTTAGTCAGTAATCCTTGAATGAAAGACAGTTTAGAAATTGCAACACAGGAATTTGATTGCTCATGGTTGAATTTTACTGCACAAATAAAGTGGACCTCTGAAGAGTTCATATAAAACAAAGGTCGCATCTCAATATTCTGAGATTGGATGCAGAATAATCCTGTTTCTCAACTGGATAAAGTGCCATCCAAGTATTTATAGGCATTGGGAAAATAACTTCAGCATAACTCTATTAAGAACAAGCCTTGGGGTTTGTGCAAAACACCAAAAATTGAGTCTTTGTTTTTTAAACAATATTAAAGAATGTCTGGCCATGTGACTGGCTCTTTAATATGTTAAAAATGATCCATCCAAAGATCTCGGTTGAGAGTTTGGAAAAGCCCATAGGGGGCAATCCCAGTGAGACTCACACCTAGGTGTTTGTACTCCTCTATCATGTCTACTGCTTCTACAGCATGATTCATATTGCCTGAGATCCCAATTATACTGTGTTATTGCAGTGATTTGCCACCAAACATGCAAAATAAATGTAGCACAAATTTATATACAGTATATCCAAATACCAGCCTCAGTAACAGCCTCAGAAGAGCACTCCTTTACTGCAGCTGTGTGACACTTTTCAAATTGGTGCACCAGCCTTCCTTTGGCTTATATGAGTTAGTTTGCTAAGATAGTCTCGAATTCCAGGCTATTCAGAACTGAACTGAGACTGAACCAAAACATATATTCATGAAATATTTACATATAATAGAGAAAGGAAACTTTCATCCTACTGAGTTAGCTTCTAAACTGGGCCTCAGAAGTGAAGAAGCAGAATATTAATCCTCTGCAATACAGTTGCCTTTCCTCACTCTGAAGTCCTATTTGTCATTAAAGACAAAAACATTACTTTGTGAGACTAGAATGTAATTCCAGAAACTACTGAACTACGACACAAGGAAATCAAAAGATTCAACAAACTGCAGCCTTCTTTGCGTTAGCAGCTTGGATAGTCGTTGATTAGTTTTGTGCTAAAGCAGTCAAGAGTCCAATGGAACCATTTGCATCCATCGGGTCAGGGAAAAGGGAAGACAGATTGGTGGATCTTAGGCCATTGAAATGGTTTCATTCAGGGAGGATCCAGTACTTGAAAGCTGGAAGGGTGGATTCTCTTGAGGACCAATAGAGATGTTTTTATAGATGGAGTTGTTTATGCACGCCTTGCTCTTTGTGTTGTGATAAACCTAAATAAAAACAAAATTAAAAGTCAATTAATGCAAAAAGGAATCAAGAGAACTGCTCCACTTAAGCGATCGGATTTCATTAAAAAAAACTTTTTTTACAATAAAGTAATTAAAATCTTAAAAAATATATTGTAATATCACAAAAGTGAAAAACAGGGCAGAGCAATTAATACTGGGTAGGTAATATTAATCCTTGATATAGAACCTTATCACGTCTTCGAGACATCTCAAAGTGCTTCACAGAATATACTGTAAAGTGGATTGACTGTATATTTTGTGGGCTAAATGCAGCAGCCAATTGTGCACAGCAGTGTCCCACAAACAGTCGTGGATTGAGTGGACAAATTATTGGTCAAATGGATGGACATTTGAATCAATTTCTAGGTGAATCAAATGAGCAATGTAACATAGAATGTATTTAGAGGACAATAATGGCAATTCAAAACCTAATACTAATAGCCCAGTGTATGGAAGCACCCAAACATAATGCTGCACACTTCAAATATTGTAATTATATTATCAGGATCTCGCTCAAATCTCTAACTTACGGCAACTTCAGCATCTGCCAGCTGCTTCTCAAAAACGGCAACTAAATATTGAAATGCAGGTCGTTTCCCAGGTTCATTAGTCCAGCAGGACTGCATCACGTTGTAGCTACAAGTGCATGGAAATAAATGTTAGGAAATACAAACAGTATTAAAAGAAGGGCAATCAACCAATACTGAGTTATTTGCTTTAGCATTCCTTTTATCACGGCATCAAATCATATCAAGAATAGCATCTACAATACAGTCTCCTTTTAAACTCTAGGCTTATTCTTTAAAGTTCATGGTTATTTATATAATAAAAGCTGGCAGTGATGGATAAATGTACCTATGTACTGGGGATGCCAGTAGTGAATGAGGCTCCAAATATGTTTTTGACAGCCTTTAGGAATCATCTGTAAACCAACAAGATGCTCAAAATTTCCTCAGTTGAGTTTAATTTATTGTATAATACATTGATATCGTTGTCTGGCAAGCTTTCCTGTTGCTTGTCCAGCTAGGACTACTTTATCAGTTAGGGCTTTGGCTTTCAGGGTTAACAGGAGCTGAGTGGGATGCCTCCCTGGCACAGTGACTGATCTGCCCTTCCAAGTCCTGCCGATGAGCCAGGCTGACTGTACTGTCATCAGCAGTGCCCTGGAATACCGAGGACCCACTTGACTCAGGAACTGGACAACCAAGACCGCCACAGAGGGTTGGCTCAATTCTGACATTCTATTGCCAGGCATGTCATCTAGGAGCCAGTTCAGTTCCAAGAAGGACCCCACTTACCAAACTGTCTTCTGTTTCTAAAGTTAAACAAACTTACATCTCTTCATTGGCATAAAATGGCTGGTCCATCTTAAAGCCGCTCTGGATCAGTTTATAGAAATATGCATCCACTTGAATGCCTGGGTATGGATTGACTCCTGAACAGATTTGGAAAGACTCAATTAGCAAACATAACTGAGCAGAATTTATGAGCATGCATTTATTGTTTTAAATATGAAAAATAAATAATTACCAAGAGAGAATATTTCCCACAGTAAGATTCCATACGACCAGATATCGCTGTGAATTGTGTAGCTGCCTTCAAACAAGCTCTCAGGAGCCATCCACTTAACGGGCAGCCGTGCCTAATATTTGAAGGATAAATTAGTTATAATAATAATATAATCCTTGCTTTTGATATAGCGCTTTTCACGTCTTCTCGACGTCTCAAAGCACTTCACAGAATAGACTGTAAAGCGAATAGACTGCATATTTATGGGCGAAACGCGGCAGCCAATTGCGCACACCAGTGTTCCACAAACAGTGGTGGATTGAAAATGACCAATTTATTATTGTTTTGTTTTGGAGGGAATATTATTAGGTGTGTGGAGTACAGAAACTTGCCCAAGGTTTCGCTGCCCAGGTGTCTCGCTTGCAAGGTGAGTGCTCTAACCACTGAGCTACAGGACTCCACAACTGTTAACTGTAGTTAACTACAGTATTAAAGGTTGTTGAATCATACTTTAGAATTTCCCTTATCTGGCAGATTCATTGTTATTTTGTTGAGAGATGTTCTTTAATAAGTATCCCTTGCTTGAATTCTAGTGGCATCATGAGCCATGAGAGAGCGTAAAAAATAAAAATAAAGAGTATAACACAATATAATACTTTAATAAATAATATGATTAGCCTTATATTAGATGTTGTACCTTTCATGTCTAGGGGTCATTTCAAAGAGCTTCACTGGATATACTGTAAATTGTATTGATAGAAATTTGGCTGTAATTCTGAACACGACAGAACAGTTGTGCAAAATAATATTCTATAAACAGCCATGAAGTGAATGACCCATTTTATTTGGGAGATTCTTGGCCAAGGACTTAACTCAATTATTCAGAATGACAAATGCGCTTTTACGCATTATTATCCATTTTGTGATATTTACAAACTGGACTTGTTACATTAATTGCGATTTCTGCTTTGCAAACACTGTAATGTAAGATTTACAGACAAGGAATCATGAATCACAACAATAATAATATAATAATCCTTACATTTGATGTAGAGGCTTATCACGTCATTGAAACGTCTCAAAGGCTTCACAGAATATAGTGTAAAGTGGATTGAGTGTATGTTTTATGGGCGAAATTTTTGCCAATTGCGCACAGCAGTATCTCACAAACAGTCATGGATTAAGTGACCAAACTATCATTATTTTTTTACATTTTTTAAAAAGATTATTACCCCTGGAAAGCGATCTTCCAATCAACTAACAACTGGTTTCCTATTGACTGCTAGGTAAACAGAGTCATGTGGAGTAAAGGAAATTGTTGGGAATTGAACCCAAGTCCTATTGCTTGAAAGGCAAGTGCTCTAACCAATACGCTATATGACTCAACAAAATGGCAAAGTCCCTCAAAAAAGCTGTTGGGGAAATGCCAGTTATTATCCCCCAGGAGTTTGGGTTTTTGAGGAACTGTCAGATTGTTCTAGGCTTATATGTAAAAACATGTTGCCTTTTTTATTCCGCCTGATCGCTCTGCTTGCTTGCTATGTCCGTTTTGCCCGAAAAAGTATACAGCAAATTCACTTATAAGTATTCTCTGTGAAGCGCTTTGAGATGTCTCGATGACGTGATAAGGTGTTATATCAAATGGAAGGATTATTACGTCCACAGACTGTTTTGGGGGCATATTGCAAGGCATGATATTTACAGTCTCATTCTCAAACAGCCATAAACCAAGTCACATGAAGGCCGCCATCATCCATGTATGTTATCAAACATGATGATGGAGTCTATGAGTCTGGAGTGCTCAGGACATGAGAGTACAAATTAACACCCGGACAAGATATTTAAGTGATAAAAGTGGACTATTGACCCCAATTTGAAGGACTCCTTTTGCATGATTACATACTTTCAATTGGGATCTGGGCCTTAACATACCCAATTACATGTAACTACATGTATTTTTTGTGGTGCAAACATCAAAAGGCAGGCAACCTAACTCATTAGAACTCAGGAACTTTTATCCCTTGCTATAAACAGGGTTAATTTTTATCGAACATAAGCTTCCAGTTATGGCTATTCTGAAGAGCTATTGTGCTTCCAAGGCTATTGTGCCTTTAAAACAAGGGAAACTGCAACTTGCCAATTTTAAAAGCACACATTGTATTTCCGCTAATCAGCATTACATATTGTTCTCTGACATCTGCATGTATTCACACAAGGTCATTTTGACTTCCTTTCCCTGTGATCCAATGATAAATGCAATATTAACTATAAAGAAACAAACAAAGGCTTCACTATTGAACAAGGGTACACATGGACTAAACTTTGAAAGGCAAATAGAATACAATGCGTCAAAGAAATAAATTAAACTTTACACTTAAATACAAAGCAGGGTATAAATGAGCTTACGCTGCCTTTGATGACATAGTTGGAGTCTTGCATGACATCCCTGGCCAGTCCAAAGTCACAGATTTTTACTACTTTTCCATGTGTCACCAGCACGTTCCTGGCTGCCAGATCTCTGTGGATACACTGAAAAGATCAATTATTAACTTACTGTCACTTTTATTGTCATGGTCTTGCTCCTACCTACCTCTCCGACCTACTAAAACATTACCAACGCGGCCTGCTCCATGTCTGTCACCCTGACCGCTACACCATTGGTGGTTGAGCCTTTTAGCCTTTCTGCCTCCACCTGCTGGAACTCCATCCCAGAGTCCCTTCGCCACGCTCCCTCCCTTGCCTCCATCAAGGCCCATCTCAAGACACTCTTCTTCGACCATGGCTTTGGTCACCCTCCTACCCCTACCTTCCCAGTCCTCCGCACCTCTTGATCCCAACCCCTGGTTCAAGTCCAAATCCCTGACTGTCCAGCACCTTGGGATGTCCTTCCGACAGGAAACGCGCTATACAAATGTCATTTGTTGTTGTATAGGAAGCATTAAAACACCAAAACCTCTAATAGGGTAAGCGCAGTCACACTCTGTCATGCATCTGCAGTTATCTTGAGGAATATCAAGACCTTCCTCTTTGACCGTGCCTTCTATCATCCTCTCACCTCCAACCCCCCTTTCCCTCCAACCCGCCTTTCCCTCCACCCCTCTTGACTCCAACCCCTAGATCGGGTGCGAACTGTTCACTGTCCAGTGCCTTGGGATGCCCTCACAATGATAAGGACGCTATATAAATACAATTTGTTGTTGTTACTACTGTAGCTCATATCCAGAACTTTAGCTGCTAGATCTTGAGATGTCATAAACCAGCTTACACTTCTTGAAGCAAGGAATTCCATGCCTTTTGCAACCTGATAGGAAAAGCTGAGAAGATCCTCGAATGTCAGAATCTGCAAGTCTTCATCATCATATCTCGTGACATTTAGAACATTAGTTTCCTCTGTAAAAGAACATGCACCAGCACAGGTGTCATCAAATGCCTGTGGTTGATTAAGAACAATCCTCCATTTGCACTTTGAGATGTCCTCCTGACGAATGGCGCTATATAAATGTAAATTGTAAATTGTGTTGTATTTCATATAGAGCTTTGTTATGTTGTCAAAACTTCTTAAAGTGGGATTTAGTGTTGTGACTGCATTTGTAGCCTCCAATTTGTGCACAGATATGTCCACAAACAGCCCTGCAGTTAAGTCCAATTTTTTCTGAGGGTTATTGGCCAGGACACCAGGAGAAATTCTCTTCACTTTTGCGAATAATGCCATGGGATCTTTAACATCCTCCTGACTAGGCAGACAGGACCTTGGTTTAACGTCACATCCGAAGGACGGCATCTCTTACAATGGAGTGCTCTCCCAGCATTGTACTGGATTGCCATTCTAGACTATGATCTCAAAGTCATGAACTAGTTGGATTTGCAAATTACAGAGCAATGACCTTGACTGAGGTGCTTTGCTTTTTGGAACTCCTACAAGTAAACATAAGAGCAGATTTTATAGAATTTCTAATTGTTTATGCTCTACTTATCTGAATTTATGCCAACAATACTAATGAACCACAACATCAGTTTTGTGCCTTGCACCAATATTTCTTACCTGTACCTAATGGGCTTGTTGGTTCATCTTGGGCAAACAGTAAATCACATTCACTCATCAGTGACAAGGTGCCAAGATCACTCCTACCAGTCATTGGGATGTAGGATCCATTTTGGAGAAAGCTTCCAACTTGGTGGCTGTTGAAAATACAAAACAAATACAATGTATCCTAACATGTGCAATTAACAGCAAAAAAAGTGCTAAACAGACTTTTATTCTAATTCTTTTTCTTTTGAAGGTGATCATATTCTTACTTTATATCAAGCAATAAAAGATAAATACAAATCATTGACCATTAAATCTAAAATTAAGGATAATCTTAACTCGGGATTTACTGATCAATGATTTGTACATAAATATGCAAATGATATTTGTATGTTTTTTATATAATAATAATACCCTGCGTGAAGAGCACTCTATAAATGCACTATATAAATATAAATGCATGTTGTTGTACTGTATATTTTTAATGATTTTTTTTAAAAACACATTAAATTAAATACTAACTGGTCCTAGACTGGTGCAGTTTGGTGGTGGAGCACTGACCTCCTATTAGACAAGTTCTAAATCTACCTTGATTATTGGGAATTCCCAATGGACAGTTTCGGTTTCCAATGGATGACCTAAAAACTCTCACCCGAAACCAAATGCACACTAGACCCACGCTTCACCTGGATCTAGTGCGCTAGAGACTTTTTGGTTTAAATTTAAAAGTAGGTGTCGTGTGCCAGAAGGTTTTTGTTTAAATTTAGAAGGGCGAATCAGGGATTTTTTCTGACTATTTGTATACAGCTGAGTTGCATGCACATAGACCACATGCTAACATAAACATGACAGGTTCTCTGACTTGCATGATTTGATGGAGTGAATGAGCAATTTTTCACACACGAAGCGATATGGTAATTATCACCTTGGGAAAGCTCACATTTTTCACACAATTACTTCTTCTGGCAGAAGCAAACCACTTGCACCACTTAAAATAAATGTAGTTTTACATTTTGATACTCCAAAGTAATATGCAGGGCAGACATTACCTTGGGCAAGTTTCCTTACTCCACACAGAGCCTAATAATAATCCCTCCAAAACAAAACAATAATAAATTGGTCATTTTCAATCTACGACTGTTTGTGGGACATTGCTGTGCGCAATTGGCTGCCGCATTCGCCCACAAATATACAGTCAATTCACTTTACAGTGTGTTCTGTGAAGCGCTTTGGGACGTCCTCCCGACGTGAAAAGCGCTATATCAAATGCAAGGATTATTATTATTATTATCGTTTATTTCAGTAGCCACCAAAGGGGAGCGGCCAGAACCTGTAAATAAAAATGATAAAAATACAGTTTTGCCAGTTCTCATTCTAGCCACTAGAGGGTACGAAAGTGAAGTGCTCCAGTTCAGAGCAAGGATTGAACCATTTGGTTCAATGGAATTGCACCACTTGCTGGTTATTCATGAAGTAGCATTGAGAGCAGCATCTTGATTGAAATAGATTTGGCAGTGGGTGGCAGCAATGGAGATATGAAAAGGAATAGATCTAAAACACAATGTATAAATATTTATACACTGTACATGTACATAATGTAAAATTGATTATTTATTTTATATTTATTATTGTATACTATTTGGACGGACACTTGAATGTCCCTCAGCTGCCAAAAGACTGATTTAGGATGTTAATAAAACTGGAATGTAACTGGTGATTAGCAATTGTACAGTAAACATAATTCAATCACGTTTCATGAGATTACTGACAATTTGTCAACAGGAAACTACCCACTACCCAGGAAACTAGTTTGTAAAGAAGGACAGCTCAGCTCAATCGAGAATACATTATTGAGATGATGCCAAAATGCACTGTGAATTTACAATGATGAACAGGGGTATTTCTATCAGGAAGTTCAACTTAAATTCTCATTCCCAACTGTTACTTGTATATGGAAAAGCAAATCTCACTGAGGCAGAACCTTCCCAATCGGCAAAGCGAGAGATTGCTGCTCGCCACAAGCAGATTTGCTGATAACTTATTGGGTCACTGATTATTTTTGCAGAACATAAATATCTGTACTAATATTCGTGCATGGTATTCCTGGTAATTTTTCCCTGGTTATTCACTCAGATCTAGAAAGATACTCAATCCTGGAGAAATAGTCACTCTGATTTTGTTTTAAAAATATAACCTATTAAGTGCATGCTAATCTTAAAAATAAACAGAACTCCATCTGTATCAGTTTTACCTTATTTTTAACAAATTTCTCATTAAGAAATCTTACAGTCTTTGATGCCAATTCATGGAAAAACTTAATCTATTTGAGTAGCGGGATTCCCTTGAATTGGAATGATATGAATTACGTACTGTAGTGTAGTGATGTACTTCCAGTTATCAGAAGGAATGTGTTTATCTCCAAAACTGGTCTTTGTAACAAATGCCATTTTGTCCATCTGCGACCAAGGCTCTCTTTGCCTCCTCGACCTGTCTGCTGCCTTCGATACCATTGACCAATCTATCCTCCTCCACCGCCTTTCCTCTCAACCTTTATGGTTCTGTCCTTGAATGGTTCAGATTGTACCTCACACACCACCTCCACTTCATCTCCACAAATGGTTTCTCCTCCAGCCCTCGCACCATCTCATGCGGAGTTCCTCAGGGCTCTATCCTTGGTTCCCTCCTCTTCAATATCTATGTGCTCCCTCTGGTGACATCATCCACAGACATGGGGTCAATTTCCACATGTATGCGGATGACACTCAACTCTATCTCTCTGCCTCCACCCTTGACTCCAGGACCACTACTGTCCTGATAGAATGTTTGTCAGACATCAAGTCCTGGATGAGAGCTGACTTTCTACAGTTGAACGTCAACAAGACCGAGGCCCTCTTGATTGGCTCCCATCAGCGCCTCCTCTTCGACAGTGCCTTCGGTCACCCTCCTTCCCCCCCTTCACCCTCCTTCCCCCCCATTTTGACAGTTCATTTCATTAACCATTAATGGTTTGCTGCAGTGAATCAAATGACAGGAGCTGCTACCTCCTATAAATGATCTGCAGACAATTTAACATTGATCACATTACAGATCCAACTGTGTGGGATATAACTGGCATCATCTCAGTGTCCATGCTACGCCCTAACATTCGGGTGCTGATCTTGCCTAGAATAAGTTATTTACCTAATTTTTCCAGGCCAGGCCAGAAACGACAGCAGGTCAGAAATGTGTTTGACCAAATAACAGGCTTTGTAAATGTCCTGGATTTAACCATGTGCACACAGACCATCTGTCCAGAATGACGACATCATTCTAGAAAAAAAGCTTCTTGGCATAATATTACAAGTTGTTTGTGATACCAAGGATCAAATTATTCTTTCAGCTTCACTGAAGGTGAATCTTCGTCTTCAACGTAATTGCAGATAAGGTTCTTTTGCAAAACCTTGGTGAAGAATGTCTGAATGGTTTTCAGCACATTTTCAGCAGTGCATCATTTACAGAAAATGTGCTGAAACCTGTGAAATGTGATCTAGGATGACTTTAAGACCTTGAAAAGATTTGGTTGTATCAGCACATCCCTAAGCCATGCCCTAATTGCACTGAGAAATGAAGTAAAAGTGGATTCTTATAGCCATGTTCTTTAATGTGCTGGTATCGACTGATCAGACTGAAATAACGAAAAGAACGGCATGGAATGACTGCGTTGACCGTAAATAAATTCAATACCTGGATGGACGATCAGTGTGAAGATTGTGATAGAAGCTAAAATTGTTCTGTGCAAAGACATCTGTCAAGGTCTTGTGAAAGGTTTCCCGGTTATTTCTTAAGTAATTGAGAAGGTCGCCATAGCAACAGTATTCAAAGATCAAGTACACTGGACCTAATGGGTTACAAGATTAAACACATTTAGTAATAAAATGAAAATTGCATAGGGTAGATACAAAGATGCTTCTGATGCCTAAGCAAATACTTAGGTAGCAGTTTCTTACCTGAGACAGTACAAGCTCCCAACAGATTCATAATATTTTCATGATTCCCCATGTGGATCATCATTTTTAGTTCAGACATTATGGCATCTTTTTCAGAAGGTTCATATTTTTCTTTTAAGTGCAGAATAAAAGATAAGCATGAGTTACCAATAAACTGGCATTGTTTCAAATTATTATGTCAGACTAATGGGGTGAAAACGGATTTTTTTATTCCCATTTTCATTGAAAATATGTTGAAAAAAGGGCATTAATAATTTTAATCCTAATAATAATCCTTGCATTTGATATGGGAAGACACCTTACGATGTCTTCGAGACGTCTCAAAGTGATACACGGAATATACTGTAAAATGTATATTTTGTGGGCAAAAGGCAGCCAATTGTGCACAGCAGTGTCCCACAAACAGTTGTGGATTGAGTGACCAAATGATTATTGTTTTTTTAAAGGGGTTATTACCCCTGGAAAAGCGATATGCCAATCAACTAACAATGGGTTCCTACTTATTGTTAGGTAAACAGAGGCGTGTGGAGTAAGGAAACTTGGCTAACATTTCGCCTGCCCTGGGAATCAAACCTAGGCCCTCCAACTTGTGAAGCGGTGGTTTAATCGATACCCTACAGGCCTCCACACATTACCCATAGTTACTTGAGTGCGAGTCAATGGGCTAAATTTTTAAGCCAAAGTTAAATATCATCAGAATCTGTGACATTTAGTGTGAACTAACATCCTACTTTAACATTCAGATAGGTACCATCTTGGAGCACTTAAATGGTGATAATAATTAATGCAGTGTAAAATGATAAACACTGCAAAATTTACACCAATATTTGTCTACTACTATATATCAATGTGTCAGTGGTTTGTGTAAATTCCACTTACCCTTCAGCATCTTGACAGCCACTTGGACAGGAATATTTGCTTTGATGATTCCATATGCTGTGGCTTCCACTACTTTCCCAAATGCACCAGATCCAAGTATGTTCCCTAAGGTGTATATACTGCATTAATAAACCAGAACTGTGCCATATTCTGTGCATAACTAAATGTAGACTGTGTAATAAGTTGGACCAATAAAGAAGTGCGGTCGGACTTTTTCCGTGAAATCCACTATAAACACACCCCTCTCTGGTTACCTGACGTCATTGTGGACAGAGCGGTTCCAGATGCGTATGCACGATGTGGCGCAAGCGGCAAATGGGCTTCACGCGAGGCCTCACTGTTGAAATTGTCTGTGTATTTGCGTGATTGTGTGCGATTGCTTCAAGGGCCATAGTCTTAACATTAGAACCAGGCCATTTAAGAGTGAAATCACAAAGCATTTTTTCTCTCAAAGCATGGTAGAAATCTGGAATTCTCTCCCCAAAAAGGTCATGGATGCTGGATCCATTTACACCTTCAAGAGTGAGGTTGATAGATTTTTGGAAGGTCAGGGTATTAATGGATATGGAGAGAAAGCGGGAATTTGGAATTGACAGGATTAGTTGAGGTACAGATCAGCCATGATCTAATTAATTGACTGAACAGGCTCGAAGGGCTGAACGGCCTCCTCCTGTTCCTATATTCCTGTGTTCCTATTGTGTGTCCGTGTGTGTCTCTCTATGTGTTTGTGAGTGTTTGCGAGTGCCTGTGTGTTTGTGTGTGAATCCTTCTCTCTATATGTATTTGTGGGTATAAAATACTAGATTAAGAAATTTATGATGCATTGAAAAAAATCTGGCCTTTAAATGAAACTGGGATTGCTTTTGAGTGCTTTTCAGATCCATTGTCAATCAGAGATGAGGATGCCCCAACGTTCAGTCCACAAGATTGGAGAATGACCTAAGAGTGGGGCAACCATTGGGTGGGATCCTCCTCAGAGCTCAGGGCTTTCCCCTTAAAGAGGTGAGCTGCAGATAGATTTTTTTTTTTTGGGGGGGCCTTAACCCCCTCTAGCCTTAGCCAACCGCCACCTATGTGTACAACTGAAATTACTTTCAGAGTAAATATTAGAAAATATGGCCCAGATGACTCAAACACCATCGTAGGTTCCTTGCTGACAGATTTAACTGCAGTCTCCAATAAATTGGACTGTTTTGTTGTACAACAATAGAAGATTTGTAGATAGATATTTGTTAGGTCAGGGTATTAAGGGATATGGGGCAAGGGCGGATAATTGGACTTGAGGTATAGATCAGCCATGATCCTATAAAATAGCAGAACAGGCTCGAGGTGCTAAATGGCCTTCTCCTGTTCCCATGTTTCTATGTTCACAATTGATAATAATATTAATCATCCTTGCATTTGGTATATTTACCCAATTTTAAGTTTTCTCGAGGAAATTCCCATTTTAGATCATAATCAAAATGACTGAAATCAACGTAAATGTAGTCGTTGTCAGTGGGTCCAACACTCTGTATCATATGGAGATGTCTTTCATAGCCAGGTTGCTTGAATGAAGAGAAAGAAAGAGATTGTTTGTTCAGATCCACTTTGATCCACAGTGGCAATTTTGCAAAATATTATAAAAAAGAATAAAGTATTATGAAAGAAAGTTGTTTTTATACAACAATGCTCTAAACATTCTTCTTAAAATGCCATTGAGGGCTCCTGCTATTTTCTCCTTATTTTCTGGTCTCCCCAGATTTTGCACGAATTTTGGCCAAAATAATGAAAATGAATGACTTGTTTCCAAGTCTCTACTATCTGCTAAATAATAATGAGAATCCTTGCATTTGATATAGCACTTTTTTGCCTGGGAAGAAGGCCTCAAAGTGTTTCATGTGAGTGACTGTATTTTGTAGATGAAATGAAACAACTGTGAAGTGTGCGTCCAATTTTATTTAGGGATTTTTGTCCTGGACACTGGGAAAACTCCCATCTCTTTTCAAGTAGTGCCACGGGATCTTTATCATCCACAGGCAGATGGAAGCTTGGTTTAAAGTTTCATCCAAATTCCACTGGATATAAGTGTATCAGACTACTTGCATAGTTGATCCATTTTTTGGCCTTGCACATTGAATATTAATATCAAGTAGGAATTGGTAATAAACTAAGGTGTATTCATACTAAATATGAATTATTAACAAACGTGCGCACTTACCTTTCTATACTTGTACAAAATGAGCATCAACATAACTAAAAAGAGCAGGACCATAAGGAAAACAATAACTCCAATTGTCCTGTAGATAGTTTGATTGAACTCTGGAAGTAAATAAATAGATACTAATAAAGGACAGTACCAATATCAGCCATACATTTTCCATGGTAAAATCCAATTTAAGTTCATATAGCTGCACCTTATGCACAGCAACTCATCACTTTACACATAACATTTAAATTTGACTCAAGCACCCATTACTCGCATTCCACTATGTTTGAAAACAAAAGTAAAAGTATTACAGGTAAAAACATTTGGAGCATCTTGTAATCCATTCCTTGTGTGGGTTATCATAAGGAATATGTTATGGTGTGCCACAAATGTCATCCCTCTATTACTGACTCTTCAGATTTTTTCCCTTAAAGCATAACTATTCGCTGTTAAATCCTATGACCGATGATTGAAATGAATTTTTGGTTAACCCAAGCTCTGACTTGGGCAAAATAGTTTTTGGTGGAATGAAGTGCTAGTCAAAAGATTATATCTTAAAAGTTTTCAAAACACCATTTGTCCTTGACTGGCTGCCTCAAAAGTGCTCTTTAAAATAATGAGGTCATGAAAGCATCAAAAATGTGACGACATAAAACTTTAAATAGTAAACCACACTTTTTTTGCAAGAATTGGCTGATTAGTGAGAAAGGGTCTTTATTCTTCATTTTCATTCATCGCTTGGCTCCTAAACACAAGAGAGAAATTCCACCTGTATCTAGTTTGACTCTAGGGCATCCAAACCTTTGTTGCATTCAGTCTTATTTTCAAAGAATTTACAGAAAACTGTGTTAAAGCTGTATTTGCTGCACAAATAGAGTAAATCTAGATCCTGGTGCAATTTCTCCCCGATAATGTTTACAGAGATGACTGGAAGTTTAACACTCGCTTCTCCCCTTCACCTCCACCCTGCCTCCACATCACACAAATCAGAGTATAGTTAAAATTTTGCAGTTAGCTCTTGGTGTGGATTTATATGACCTAATAGGCTGCAGTAGCTTAGCTGGTTAGAAGTGAGATCTGAAACCATTTCTTCATATACAGGTGCTGTGAAAATGTGGAATGCACTACCCCAGAATGCTGTAGAGCCCACATCAGTTGTATTTGATCCAATTAGCTGTCCAATCCTACAATAATCCTTATATTCGATTTAGAGCCTTTCATGTCAGATGGATGTCTCAAAATACTTCACAGGATGTACTGTGGAGTGGAGTGACTGTGTATTCTGTAGGCATATTATTTAAAAGAGATAGATACTTGGGAAGTGAGGACATGGACAAAAGACGGAAAATTAGGACCAAAATATCTGCCCAAATAAACTGGTGGAGCAGGCTCGATGGATTGAATATCTGTGTCTATGGTTCGACATTAGTCAGAATTCTTGTGTCTTGAATATACTAAACCTCAGCACAAGAGGCAAGCGTCCACAATACCGAGAAGTGTGAGCTTTGTGTCATGTAGGAGCTCTGTAATGCAGTTTATTTGATTGAAGTTGAGTTGCTCCACACGATCACCTTCATCTCTCAAGTCTGTTGCCTTTTGCACAGCAGTAGATATAGGGGCCTGAAGAATGAGAATCATGCAGATGGACAACACAGGCAGAACTGTGTTCTCACACCACTGTATTGGTGCCACTTGCTGTTTGGATATGAATGACCTAGTTTGAAACTTATGTCCTTCTTGATTGGATGTAGGTTGTGAAATATTTGCCTTTCTTTCCGTTATTCTTGTTTCATATTGTTCAAAGGTGCTTCTTATCATGCAATCAACAGCTCTGACAAAGTATTGTAAGCAATGGTATATATCTGAACTTAAAGCACAGAGCACCTATTACAGCATAAGGCAATGCCTTCAGGAAAAGAGGGAAGAAAATTGCAAGAAAAATAAAACATTTGCCAAACACTTCAATATTAAGGCATCGCCCTTAAGAACATAAGAATAAGATAGGAGAAAGACGACCAAGGTCCATCCAGTTCGCCTTCCACCATCCTGGCAGTCGGACGCACATGTCATATCCCAAACTATATACTGTATCCCGAGATATTATTTCCTAACAGAAATCTATCTAATTTATTCTTGAAAGAATCAACACTTTCTGCTTCCACAGTCTCCAGAGGGAGCCTGTTCCATACGTTTACTACTTGCTCACTGAAGTAGTGTTTTCACCTATATATTCTGAATTTACCCCTCTTCTACACAGCTAGTGGGTATGTTATGTTATCATAAACAATAAATAATCTAAGTAATCAAGTTTCAGAGAAAGTTTAACCTTGACATTACCTTTCTTTTGGAGATAATGTTGCTTGCAGATTGAGCCTATGGCATTTGATACACAGCACTTTACAAAGCACCCATCCTTCATGGTGCTTGTATCCAACTCACTGATTACATACATGCTCCCAAATTCTTTTCCATGTGACACCGTGGTCTGAATGCCTTTAGTGATGTTTTTTTCACAACTTAAACATAACAAATAACGAAGGTCATGTATATAAAAAGAATGTCATTTCAAATGGGTTTAGCCTTCCTGTCCTATCATCTTCAAAATTCACCCAAACCAGCTGTCAGTTTGGCTCAATTGGTAGCACTCTTGCCTCTTGGGCAGACGGTTAGGGTTCAAGTTAAAACTCGAGTTTACACTGACATTCTGGGGGATTGCTGCATTGTCAAAGGTGCTGCCTTTCAGAGATGTAAAACTGAGGTCCCATCTGCCTATAATTAGATGGACATTAAAAAATCTTTGACACTGTTTGAATAGGGAAGGAAGTTTCTGGCCAACTATCCTCCAGAATAATTAGTCATTCACCTCATTTTTGTGGAACATTGCTGGTGCAAATGTTAACTTTCCAAAAATGGACACAATACATGACAGTGAAGTGTTTTGGCTTTCTATAAAACCGACAGTTCTTTCTTTTGTCCTGACATTTTTATTGGGGGTGGGGGGGGATTTAAGTGAAAAACCCACCATCATGTTCAAGAGTATCTAAACCAGACTGAGAGTTCCATGTGAGCATGCCACTTCTGCATGAAAATTTCCCTGCATGAGAATTTCTGGAATGGAAATTCCCTGCTTTCCTAATTCCAAAAAATATTAGGCACAGATTAGGCTAAGACGTGACAGATTCTTTCAGTCGCAAACCCCAAATTATTTATTCATGAGTTGAGACACTTCTTTACAAAAGTAAAATTAGAATGAAATCTTTTTCAAGGTCTGCAAAATATTAAAACGTACGCCATATGGAATTAGTTATTTATTTTTAAATGTAATGTAATCCTGTTGTAGTTATATAATTTTAAAACCAATTGTGAAAAACATTTTCATTCTGTTAAAGATAAAAGCTCCGTGAACTGATCACTTCATCCTCGCCTGGCTTCACTGGCTCCCCATTTCTCAGAGATAGAGTTTAAAATCCTTGTCCTCATTGTTAAGTAATTGCAATTATGGAGTATGACATAACCCTTGTGCAAAAATAAATATACTGTGCAAATGTATTGACATGCTCCAGTCAGTATACAAAGTTAGGCTTGTTTGGCCATGAAATGCTCATGAATATGAGAATATTCTACACTCAATTACTGACATAATTGAATGCATTGAGATACTACTGCATGTGAAAGGCACTATATAAATGCAAGTTGTTGTATCATTTCCACAACTTTATTCCATGTATGAGATACTTCCTCCTCTCAGCAGATATTGTGTATGCGAAATTCAGACAAAAAGAAATAAGGTTTAAGATGTGTGCATTTATGATGTGGCTGCATGTTTTGACCAAAATGGATTTAGTGGACAAAGGACAACATTTACATGGTAGAATAGCTATTGTTCTGATGCATTTTGGAGGTCAAATAATTGCCTCCTGAGGGTATCCTTCATCAGCTTGTTTGTGCTCGCAAATTAATAGCTGCAGCTGTACACACATTTCACACGTTATGACATTAAAATAGTTTTAAGGTTTTATTAAGATTTCTGCAAATTGGATTTCTGTGTACAGGCAACCAATAGAATGGGTGTTGGAGTGGGGGTGGGAGGAGGAGGGAAGGTGACGAGAGGGTACGCAAACATTTACGTTTCTAAATATATGGCTATGATTATGGAGGGAGAATTATTTTGTCAGCATGGACGATTGAAAGATACTTGCACTAGTATTTGTACTTGTACAAATCCCTAACTGTGCCTTGGGACATCCTCCCGACATGAAAGGTGGTATACAAATGTAATGTGTTGCTGTTGTTTGTTACTATTGTTGTACTAACAATGAATATGAGTGGAATTTCTCTGATTCTCTGGAGATTTTCACCCTATTATTATGACAGTCATTTCCTTGTGCTCATTGCATTTACTCACAGATCTCCATCACATTGTTTCCACGTCACTTCAGCTAAAGGATAACTTTCAGTCATGCATGACAGCCGATTTATTGTTGAGGATATCTCAAGAACTGGTACAGCTGCAGAAAGTGCAATTTAGAAATTCAGTAAATGATAAGATTTTGAACCACATTAATACTAAACAAATAATTTAACAGATATAAATGCAGTATTACATATTTCCAACAACTGAACACAGTATAAAAACACTAAGCTCCCACTGTCAAAAATATGAATGGACAATTTGGAAGGGAAAATCTCAGTTCTTGCTTTCAGGAAGCTAACTAGTGATTGTGATACAGGTGCAACCCTCTAATCTTTAACATTCTAATGTTATTCTAGACAGTATTAAAATAATAATTAAACGTGTCAATATTTCTCCATAAATTATTAAAATATTCTTTGTTTGACTTTCTTCTTGATAACTTTTTTTCTCAAAGCAAATGCAGCAAATCCAAGAAACAGTAAATGGTGTGGGATGCAAGAGACCAGAACATTCAACTAATTTAAGAAGTATTTAGATGCTGTAATGGTAATAAAATAAGGTTGGTTTTCTGGAAGGAAGAGATCAAATGGGTACGAGGATGATCTTTATCCAAACCTCTCTTGTCATCTTGTGAATGTGAGTGGGCAGATTCACTTTTTTTTCCCCAAACAATTGGCTTTAAAATGAGCATCTATCAAGACCAAGAAAAATACTATAACTTGCTGGTGTTCTCAACTTCACATGCTGCTGGACATTCTGCATTCTAATCTGATTTATATATTTTTGGAGGAGACTGAGTTAAATGTTTTCTATGGAACCATAGGACCATAGAAATTACAGTACAGAAAAAAATCACTCAGCCCATGGTTTTGTGCTGGCTCTTTGAAAATGCAATCAATTCAGCTTCATTTACCTGCCTTTCTCCCTCTATCCCTGTAAACAATCCTTTTTAGATACCAGACTAGTTTCCCCTTGAAAGCTAATATGGATTCTACCTTGACTACTGCACCCAGCAGGCATTGCATATTCTATCTTCTCCATGCTTGAAACAAACACAAATTGTATACTTGCTACGCTTACTTTAATAACAACACTAAGCTTACTTTAGTAAAAACATTTACTATTTGTTTCAGCAACTTTGACTTACACTCCAAATATAAGGTAAAGAAAGTCTGAAATTCTGCTTCCCTGTTGTCTGCAAATAATTCATAGATTCCTGGCTTATGTCCATGATCACAGAGTGATACAGAGATACTGATAGGAGTAAAAAAACACAATAAAAGCATTGTTATACAATATAAGTAATATATATTAAAGGCAGCAAAATTGTTTGTTTCATCATACCTCTCCAACATCATATTAAAATGCATTAAAATAGCATGGGAGAAAAAAGTCTACAAAAGTTTAAGATGTATATATATCTGTAAATCAAATTATTCTTCAATTTAAATTGGTATCTTGAATGTCTGCATCTTGGGCAGATGATGAAACTGAGATCAGAAAGTCGTCACATATCTGTAATTGCTGATATGAATCTGGACAGAATCTTAAAGTGCACCCTTAAAGTGCTTGTTAAAGTATATGCTTTATCAACTATATAGTTATTGATTATCAAATAGGATAAGCATAAGCAATGCAAGATTTGCAAAAGAGTTTATAAAGATTAGATGCTGCAGGACCTGAGATGTGCCTCAGGCTGATTCTATGTAATACTGCTTCCACTCCAACCTCCTGCCAGCTGAAAGGAGAACATTTAGTCACAATCCAGATGTCAAACTCATTTAGTCTATGGAAATTCCAAACTCAGTTCAGCAATGTATGTGTACTAATTCCAATTTAACTGTAACATTAATAACACACCACTTTTTGATACAGCCATTTACAGGAGCCCTGCTTTGAAACATGGAACTAGGTATCAACCCAGGTCAGTTGGTAGACTATCGCCTTTGAGTTACATGGTTGTGGGTTCAAGTTGCAAGTCAGGATTTTGAACCCATAGGAGGTAACAATCCAATTATGAGGTAGCACTGCATTATCAGAAGTGCCATCCTTTGGATGAGACATTAACTAAGGTTCGATCTGCCTGTTCAGGTGGATGCTAAAGATCTCATGGCACTATTTGAAATAAGAAGTTTCTCCCAATGTCCTGGCCAACAATTCTTAGAATTGGCTGTTCACTTCATGGCAGTGTGTGGAACATTGCCTTGCCTTAATTGTAAGCTGGGTTCATCTACAAAAATATACATTTACTGCAGTAATTCTCAATCCAAAACCAGGTTGGTAAGTTTCTTTATTAGCAACCCAGAGAATTCCAATCCACTAACCATAACCACATCCACTTGGTCCACTCCCAGTATCCTTTTGTGTAGTTCCTGTATTTATTTCATTGGCTCTTTCTTAATTGCTTTTTACTTCTTAAAGGGACATCCTACAGTCACAACACTCTACAGAAAAATCCTGTGAAGTGCATTGGAATATTTGACAACAGGATGATATACTTGCAATTTCATATCTCAGGATTCATTACTCATTTAGACTGCATAATTCCCACATCCGTTACCAGCAGTATTTCCAGTTAATGACTCTGAGTCATTCTATTGGGAATCACCATTTTTTCGAACCCCAGTTCGAATATTGTGAGAATCCCTTCATCTGTCTGCTGATGACTAATACCTGATGAGTACAATTGCCTTACATTTTATTAAAACATTCATTAAATGAAACTTCAGAATATTGTACCTGTTTCCATGTAAATTCTTAAGCTCACAGGGAAAGGTCTTCTGCAAAAAATACCACTGGCAGTTTACAAGTGGATATGCATTCAGTGTGGCCTCAATGCACACATAGTCATTTTTACCAATAACATAGACTTCCTTTTTAGACGTTGAATTAATAAATCCCTTCTCTGAAAGAAAAGAAATACAACCTAAGTACCAAATGGCTATAATAATTCTTCCTAGATTGAATTAGTATATATACATACTGTATTAAACTTTATTCACCTATTAGCTTTTGAAATTTACTAACAGTTAAAGTTACAAGCATGTTAAGCTACCTAGGGATGGACATAATGTCAGTGGCACATTATCAGATACACATTAAATTGAACAGCCCTGAAAGTAGGCAAGTCTGACATAGGGGAAGTGTAAGCTATAAGAAACTTTTATCATGGCAATGATTGGGTGAAAAGTGCAACATTTGATGCTCCCTCCACCCAGCCGGCTCCACGTCCCCCGACCCACCCACCCCACTCGCCCCACAGTTGGCGGCAGAGCCTTCAGCCACTCTGCCCCCAACCTCTGGAATTCCATCTCAAAGCCCTCCTCTTCGACTATGCCATCGGTCACCTCCCTTCCCCTCCCCTCCTTTCTCCCCTTTGACCCCAGCTCAGGTCTGAAATGCTGTACGCTGTCCAGCGCCTTGGGACGTCCTCCCGACGTGAAAGGCGCTATACAAATGTGATATTGTTATGTATTATTTCATCATTAAAAATTGTGATCCAATTTTTGGCTTTTACCAACAGGTTTGTAAACCCCTCTCCAGCACAAGCCGCCCTGACTGGCACAATGTTTCAGCCTGAAGGTTTCAGTGCCCCATGATTGTAGAGGACAATATTTCATTGTATCTAAAAGATGCTGGCTTAAAATAACTGGGATCCTGTGGAACAGGACTCAAACATTAGCGTCGGAATCAAGAAAAAGAATGGGGAAACTAAGATAGCACCAAGCTATCTGCTCTAATGTGTTAGATAGCACCAATATGTTTTGAAAATTGGGGAGGGGCAGTGTTTACTTCCAAACCTGTCAACAACTAAAGACAGATTTAGATCTCATGTTTTTCCAATGATAATTATGGTGGTGGTGAAATTTTCATTTTCACCACATGATTGTTTAATATTTTAAAAATATGACTTAATTCAAATCTTGCAGATATTTTTCTGTAACCAGGGGCCATAGATTCAAGATAATTGGCAAAAGAACCAGAGAGGAGATGAGAAGAAATGCTTTTACACAGAGAGTTGTTAAGGTCTGGAATGCACTGCCTGATAGGGTAGTGGAAACAGATTCAATAACAACTTTCAAAAGGGACTTAGATAGGTACTTGAAGAGGAAATATTTACAAGGATATGTGGAAAGAGTGGGTTGTGTGGGATTGATTAGGTAGCTCTTCCAAAGAGCCGGCACAGGCCCAATGGGCTGAATAGCCTCTTTCTGTGCTATTATATTCAATGATTCTATGATTCTTCATAAGAAAAAATACTGATACATTATTCACATAAACATTTTATAAACTTCAACAGTGTAGTTTAAATAGTTTAAAGGAAAGTTCAATTATAAACATTTTGAAGCAGAAACTTACCGATCACTGTTAAATTGATTGTCTTGTTTGAATTCTCTTTAGAAGCACATGTATATAATCCACTGTCTTCCAAATGTACCGAGCTAATAAACAGATAACCGTACTTGATCCAATCAGGTTTGTTCTTAATGACCTTTGATTCTTCAAATTTCACGGGCTAGTTTAGTGTTGAAACAATGAAGACACATGCTTAAATTTACCAAATAAAACTTTAGTTGCTAACATATTAGGTACTCACACACCTCTGTTTATCTTGCAGTAAGTAGAAACCCTGTTGTCATTTTATTCTGCACTAAACTCTTAGGCTCGTTACCTCAATCTATCCATGTTCCACTGGCCATCAGTACTTCAGTGGATCAACTTTAATATCCTTATCCTGATCTTCAAATCCCTTCTGAATCTTGCCCTTCAATTTCCTTCTGATCTGTTCTCCCACCTGTGTCCTCTGTTCTTCCGTCTCTGGCCTATCGCCCATTGCTCACTTCCTCTGCCCCACTACCGGTGACCAAATATACAGCCTTGATACTGCTATCCCTTGCTCTCTCCCAAAATTTGTTTGCTTTGCTCCTTATTTCCCTGCTTTCAAAACCCCTCTGAAAGGCAGTACTCTCAGCCACTACACCACAAAGCTTTGGAACTCCCCCTCAATCCCTCGGCTTTTCCCCCCTACTTCCCCACTTTTAGATCATGACTGAAGACCTTCCTCTTCGACCGTGCTTACAGTCTCTTCCACCCTCCCTCCAGCTCGGCATCAGGCCCCGCCACTGTTAAGCTCTGCGAGATACTGCCCCGTGTGAAGGGCGCTATATAAATGCAAGTTGTTAGTGTTATTGAAAAATCTATATTTGTACTTTTCGCCATTAACTTTAAATTTACATTTCTCATTGCTTTGTATGCCATAACTCTCTATACATAAGTTCTATATAAGTGTAACTGTAATCAGATGTTGGCGCTATACCTGTGTGGTATTTGTTGTCTTTGTCTCGATAGTCCAGTCTATCCTGAATTGGTAGTTTTTATATGAAGCAACACACCTTATCAGGAATGGTTCACCAACTTTGAGGAAAACATTCAGAACAGAATTGCTGTTGTTCAATTTACTATCAAGATCTACAAATCATGGATAAAAAGACAATTCTGTTAAACATACCAATGCACAACACAACGCAACAACCACAAGTGAAGAACTATTGTTTTCTGACAGGGAGAGTGAATTATAGAAACACTTTAGAATCATAAAATCTACAGCATAGAAGAAAGTCATTTGGCTCATTTGCCACATTTTGCCCACAAAATATACAGTCAACTCACTTTACAGTGCATCTGTGAAATGCTTTAAGAAGTCTCAAAGATGTGATAAGGCACTATGTCAAATGCAAGGCTTATTATTATTATTACTATTATTATTAACTGCACTAACTCTAATTTCCTACTTTTTCTTCAATGCCAAGTAAGGTGGTAGAGGCAGAGTCCATTATGGGTTGCAAGCATGGTTGAAGAGGAACATTTTCAAGTGGGACTTGAAAAAGTGGAGCGAGGGGACAAGGCGGAAGGATTGAGGGAGAGGGTTCCAAAGTTTTGGGGTGTCGTGGCTGAAAGCGCGACCTCCAATGGTGGGGCGGAGTGAGAGATGAGCAGGAGGCCAGTGCCAGTCGAGCGGAGGTCCTGGGTGGTGGATTGAGGAGTGAGGAGGTCGGAGAGGTAGGGAGATGCCAGGAAGTGAATGGATTTGAACATGAGTGTTAGGATCTTGAAGTCGATCCATTGGGTGATGGGGAGCCAGTGGAGCCTGGCCAAAACTGGTGAGATGTGGGTACAGAGTTTTCTCGTGTCAGTATGCGGGCAGCAGAGTTCTGAATGAGCTGGATCTTTTGAATAGTGGAGCTGGAGAGACCGGTGAGGAGTGTGTTGGACTAATCCAGGCGGGAGGTGACAAACGCATGCACGAGGGTTTCGGCTGCATTTGGGGTAAGGCACGGTTGGAGGTGAACAATGTGGCGAAGGTGGAAGAAGGCGGTCCTGGACGCTTAGATTGCGCACTCGTTCGGTGAGTCTGAGGAAGAACCTAGGGAGGTTGAGGAGTTTAGATCCGCAGGAGTGAAGACATTGACAGGAGCCAAGGAGTATGGCTTCCATCTTTCAATTTTCAGCTGCAGGAAGTTTACACTCATCCAGGCCCTGATGTCTGCCAGACAAGCTGATAGAACATCGGCGGACCTGGACTTGGTACTGGAGGAGGCAAAGTAGATTTGGGTGTCATCCACATATCTGTGGAAGTTTACCCCATGTCTGCAGATGACATTGATCAGAGGGAGCATATAAATAAGGAAAAAAACAGGGTCAAGGATGGAGCCCTGGGGTACCCCGCAGTTGACTGGGCAGGAGCGCGAGGAGAAACCATTTGCTGAGATGAAATGAAGGAGGTTGGTTAAATAAGACTCGAACCATATGAGTGCGGTCCCACTAAGGTAGCCTCGCAAGTGAGGTTTGATTTGATTCCCGGCAGGGCAAAACACTGGGCAAGTTTCCTTACTCCACATGCCTCTGTTTACCTCACAGTACATAGTACATAGGAAACAGATTGTTAGTCGATTGGCGGATTGCTTTTCTGGGTGTAATAATCCCTTAAAAATAAATAAATAAAATAATAATTTGATCACTCAATCCATGACTGTTTGTGGGACACTTCTATGTGCAATTGGCTGCCGTGTTTCGCCCACAAAATAGTCAATTCACTTTACAGTATATTCTGTCTAGTGCTTTGACACATCTCGAAGACGTGATAGGGCACTATATCAAATGAAAGGATTAATATTATTATTATATTATTATTATTATTATCCATCCCAATGGAAAATCATTGTTTCAGATGTTTGATCACAGTTGTCTTTGCACAGCAGGGTAACAGCAGAACAGACGTAAGAAAATGTTGGTGGCCTCACTAAAGAACACCAGAGGTGACCTTAGGGAAGGACATTGTCTTAGAGGAAGAAGTGGAGGCAGTGTTACGGAGGGAAGTGGTGCTGTGTAGGAAGAACAGAACAGCAGAGGTGATTTCATGGAAAGAAAGGATTTCAGAAAAGGGAAGTGGTCAACGTGGACGGAAAAAAAAATTCTAAGAAGTGGTTTTCAAACAGATGATTGAATTATAATTGCCTTAAAAGTAAATGTCTGAACAGTTTGACAACAGCAGCTGTCAGCCTGGCTGAGCTTTTACAATTTTCACATCTTGAATCAGAAGTTCGTGGGTTCAAGCCATTTTGAGCATATAGTCAAGGTGGACGGACATGCCAATGCAATTCTGAGGGAGAGCTGCGCTGTAAACGCTGCCATCCTTCAGATGAGATGTTCAACTGAATTCTGTCTAGCTGTTTGGATGTTAAAGATCCCATGGCATTATTTGAAAAGAGAAAAGAGGTTTTCCTGGTGTCCTGGCCAAAAATCCCTCAGGATTGCTCGTTCACACCTTGGGACATCCTCCCGATGTGAAAAGCGCTTATAAACAAATGCCACTAGGCTTCAGCCAGTTACTCCTGTTAATAAATAATCTTGTTGTGAAACTTTATCTCCATTTCTAAACATCAAAACTTGCAAGTGTCACCCAGATGGATTGAAAACTGATCTCTCTCACATGGAGTCATAATAAGCAGAAGCAGCACCCACTCCCTTGGGAGAAACTAGCTAGTGACTGAGCATTTACAGGTAAACTCCATTATAACACAGTGTTTTAGGAACATAGGAACAAAAGTAGGCCTTTCAGCCTCTCAAGCCTGTTCCACCATTCTATTGATCATAGCTGATCTGTACCTCAATTCCAATTACCCGCATTTGCCACATATCCCTTGATACCCTTACCTAACAAATATGTATCCAACTCAGTTTAAAAATTTTAATTGATTCAGAATCCACAACCTTTTGGGGGAGAGAGTTCCACATTTCCACATTTGTGTGAAAAAATGCTCCCTGATTTCACTCCTAAATAGCTTAGCTTTCATTTTAAGATTATGACCTCTTGTCCTGGATTCCCAAACCAAAGGAAATAGTTTCTCTGTAACTAACCTATCGAATGTCTCTTCTCAAAAACCTCAAGCAGATCACTCTTCAGCCTTCTAAAGTCAAGGCCCAATTGCATTAAAAACCTGCATTGAACCCGTTTTGGATCCATACATTAGACCCTGCACTATAGTGGGTCTGTGAAAAAAGAGATCAGCCCTGATATCAGTTCTGGCTTCCAGCACAGATGCCCAGTGCAGGAAGACTGCAGGTCAGCATTCACTACTCTTGCGCACGTTTCAACTCTAGAGACGTTCGCAGGAGCGGTTGCAGTTGACTGTCGGGCATTTTGCATTCTGTATCCAGAAAGTGTGTGGCAGAATAAAAATGCATTGTACGGAATAAAAGAATGTCAGGGAATGAGCTGAACACGGCAATTAAATTGCCTGTTTAAATGACATACGCAATGCATTTCAGTTTGTCGGTTGTGGTTTACATAATTTTCTGATGCTACGTTTGGGCTACATGTTGTGGGTGAGCCACTGTGACTTTGCCAAAGATTCACTTCAGGCCGGACAACGTAAACACAACAAAGTTGTTACCTTTTAACCTTTTTCTCTGAATCTATTGTTCAACGTTTATATACATTGCAGATTTATAATTACCTTGAGTGTATAAGGTTAAACATTCCTTTCCAAGATCATTACTTGCACAGCAACATGCATTAGGATGAAATAATTCGTCTGTGAAAACGATTGATGGCATTCTTGGCACTCTAAAGGTTTCAATGGAATTAGTATATTCTGTTGAAGTATCTGAAAAGCTGTAACCTCAAAATATATTGTTATTGCACAGACTAATACGTTCCTTTAAAACTTATAGTATTATTTTATGAACTCAAGTCAACAAAATAGTTGATTAGTTATTGGCCAAATACATTAAAACACTTTTGTGCCACACTGTGACCTGTTCTTTCAGATCTGACTGATGAAGGAACGCAGGAAAAAGTACACGAAATATGTCCGAAATGTCAAACAATTAATTTTTAGATCTCTATAGCATCTAAATATGACCACAATTGAATCCAGACTAAAGAAAAACTTTCTGGTACCTGTCCTGATATTGCCCTTTACAACTCTAAATTGTTATCTTGTATTGATCTGGGTTTATTTTTTCAATCCCATTTAAAATTCTATAGGTCTTTATGAAGTACCCTCTGAGCCATCTTATCTCAAGACTGAAGAGCCCTGGCTTATCTAATCATTAGCCATTGCTCATTTCTCTAACACTGGTGATCATCCTCATTGCTCTCCTCTGCACTGATATGACGAGAGGCTGAATAGACTGGGGGGTTGTTCCTAAGAACAGAGAAGCTTAAGAAGTGATTTGATCAGGTACTTAAAATAATGAAAGGAATTGACAGGTTAGATTCTTCATGAGAAATGTGTAATGAATAAATTTCTAAAATATAACATTTTCCAAAAAATGCATTCTTCAGAAATCTGTTAAAAATATTCCAAATTAAACCCCAGTCACTTTCCTGAATACATGTGGGAGAAGCAATGGCAGTGCACAAACCATTGAAAAGAGTGGGCTCAGTGAGCTGAAGAGCCTTTTTTTTTGATCCCATATGCTCTGTTTCTTATTTATATGTATAAAATCACCAAGCAGTGCATTATTCATAGAACATTTTGGCATAGGATCATGAGTAGGCCATACAGCCCCTCAAGTCTGTTCTGCCATTCTATAAGATCATGGCTGATTTGCACCTCAACTCCAATTACCTGCCTTTGCCCCATATCCCTTGATAGCTTTACTCAACAAAATCTATCCACCTCAGTCTTGAAAGTTTGAGTGAATCCAGCATCCACAGCCTTTTGGGGGAGAGAATTCCAGATTTCCACTACCCTTTGTGTGAAAAAATGCCACCTGACTTCACTCATAAATAGCCGAGTTTTAATTTTAAGACAGTAAAATTAACTCCCCCTCCCCCTCCAACAAAATACTGATGGGAATATTGTATTTGGGAATATTGCCCAATAGTTTCCTAAATTCAAAAAGCATATAAGTAATAAAAGATAATAGAAAATAAACTAAAACTTTGCAATTTCCAATTTCATATTGATCAGTTATTTGAATCTTTTACTTCCAAGAAAGCATTAATCTTTATTTGTTATCAAGCGAACCAATACTGATCCATTCTGTTATTGTAGTTTGTGGAAAATATTAACTAACAGATAAATTTTGGTGTCATACCTGTCAGATTCCCTTGAACAATCTTCTTTCCAACTCAACTTAGGTGGAGGGTACCCTTTTGATGTGCATCCAAGTTTACGTGTGTCCAGTATTGTCACTGTTGGTTTCTGAGGCTTTGCTGCAAAGGGAAATGATAAAAGACTTACAGAAAACGCATCTCAAATTAAGCAACTTGCCAGTCACAAGTGGCTCAGTTGGTAGCACTTTTCTCTCTGAGTCCGAAAGTTGTTACCTCGTTCCCCATGTCAGGACTTGAAACTTATAGAATCTAAACACTCCAGTGAAGCTCTAGAGCTATCCTTCGGATGAGATGTTAAATTAAAACCTTGTCTGCCTGTCCAAGTGGATGATAAACATCCTATGGCACTATTCGAAAGAGAAAGGAGTTTCTCTGAGTATCCTGGCCACAGTTTCCTAAATAAAATTGATCATTCACTTCATGGTTGTTTGTGCAACCCTGATGATCTGTGCAAATTGGTTGCAGCGTTCGCCCATGAAAATGCAGTCACTCCACTTTACAACGTATCTTGCAAAGCACTTTGAGATTTTATCCTGAAATGAAAGGTGCTACACCAAATGTAAGCATTATTTTTATTAACTGAACATTTCAAACTTCACACTGTACAGATACATAGATTTCCCAGGTGATCATTTGTAGGCACATTTTATTGGAGATGAATATAATTTATCACTGGAATGCTGTGCAATTGTAATCTCTGAATATTTGGCTCTTGATTTTAGATTGTGGGTTTGACTCTTTAGATTGACGACATTCGGATTTGCTCTGCTGGATAAACTTTAACTACATACGTTTTTGTTTCAACTTATTTCTATAGCCGACAATCATATTGTTCTCCTCGTTCTCCTTGACCTCTCCACTGCCTTTGGCACAGCGGAGCACTCAATCTTCCTCCACCGCCTCTCCTCCCACCTCAACCTTCAAGGTCCTGTCCTTGATTGGTTCAGTTCCTACCTTTCACAACGCCTCCACTTCGTCGTCGCAAACTGCTTCTCATCCAGCCCCTGCACCGTCTTGTGTGGCATTCCTCAGGGCTCTATCCTCAGTCCCTTCCTCTTCACCCTCTACATGCTCCCCCTTGGTGGCATCATCTGCAGACATGGGGTCAACTTCCACACACATGTGGATGACACCCAACTCTACCTCTCTGCCTCCACCCTGAACTCCAGGACAACTGGCATCCTGATTGACTGCCTGTCCGACATCAAGTCCTGGATGAGGGCCAACTTTCTCCAACTCAACGTCAGCAAGACTGAGGCCCTCCTGATTAGCTCGCGCCAGCGCCTCCGCACCTCAGGCGCTGGCAGCATCAGCCTCCACGGCTGTACACTCAACCTCACTAAGCCAGTTAGGAACCTGAGTATCTTGTTCGACCCTGAACTGTCCTTTCTCCCCCACATTCATGCCATGACCGGCACTGCCTACCACCACCTCCGCAACATTGCCAGACTCCATCACTACCTCACCCCTCAGGCTGCCGAAACCCTCACCACACATTCGTCACATCAAGGCTCAACTACGGAAACTCCCTCCTCGTTGGCCTTCCCAACTCTTCCCTTCACAGGCTGCAGATCATTCAAAACTCTGCAGCTCATGTACTCTCACGCACCAGGCTCCGTGACCCCATCACTCCCACCCTCACCCGACTCCATAATAACCCCATCCCCCAGAGGATCAAATTCAAGATCCTCGTTTTCACTTTCAAGGCCATCCATGGCCTTGCCCCCTCCTCCCTCTCTGACCTGCTGACTCCCTACCAACCTACCCACTCCCTCCGTTCAGCAAGCTCTGGTATGCTCCACATCTCCCGCTCGATCCGCCCTACCATCGGTGGCCAGGCTTTCAGCCTCTCTGTCCCCCCACTCTGGAACTCCATCCCACGGTCTCTTCGCCTCGCTTCCTCCCTTGCGTCCTTCAAGGCCAGTCTCAAGACCCTTCTCTTCGATCATGCCTTTGGTCTCCCTCCCACCTCTCTGCCTTCCCTCACCCCTACACCATCCCTCCCCCATGCTCAGCCCCCAACACCTGACTGTTCAGCGCTTTGAGACGTCCTCCCGATGTGAAAGGCGCTCTATAAATGTAATTTTGTTGTTCTTGTTCTACTTCAGTGCATTAAAGAAGAATTTGAATTTTTATAGAATCTTATCCTGCCAAAACATCTCAAAGTGCTTTACTGCAATTACTTTTCAGGGTGATGTTTTTGTTGGCAAACACAGCAGCTTTTATCAGGAGTATTACACTATACTTATTATACAGCATTACATTATAAATCCTGACTTAGCTATTCGGTGAGTAACTTCGATTTGGGTCTAGTTGGACACTTAAGGTTTCTGCTAAAATTCCAACATTTAAAATGAGGAAAATGGTCAGGTTAAAGGGCTTTCACAATTTTAGTGTATACATTTTTATTCTTTCTTTGAAGAAAATTTCTCTAATGCATGATTTCTCCTCTCACCCCGCCAAGAGCTTGATTTAATATGTCATCCTTTGACAATGTAGGCATCTTTTGAACTATATGGAGGAACCTCACTAATCTGGTCACTCAAGTGGCTGGGCAAAAGTGACCTACTTAGTGAGGTGACCTGATTACTGAAACGGTCAGGTGATTCAGATCACTAATATAACATTTAGAGCATTGGTAATGAGTAAGGGTGATGAACGTTAAACAACCAGACTTTGGAATCTCAATTAAAATAAAGGCATTGTCACATTTAAACCAGATCTTAAGTTTCATTATTTAAAGTTCACATGAGAAATTAAAATCACACAAAATGTTCATTTCTTGGAGAAAGAGTCCAGTGTTGTTTGCTTAGCTGCTGATATAACCTGCACTCCCTTGGCCTGCAGCTGATCCTCAGCATCAGCTAAAGTCTATCACACCTCAAGTTCATAATCAAAGCAAAAGTCCTTCACTTGTTCCAACATACTGAGTGCATCAGCATAAGTGAGAGGGGATTTTGATGTTGTAGGCTGCTCTTCGGGTTCCTTCTCCTGTGTGTCTTGTTCCTGAGTGTCCCGGGTAGAAACTCCTCTGCTTAGACGCTCCTTCCATTCCTCATTCAAGTCCTCAATGGAGGACACATTACTGTCAGTGGCTGTGTATTCCTCAGCACTGAGGATAATGGTGTCCAGTGACAGGCACTGACTGGCCTGAGACAACAACTGGGCTAGTGGCACATCAGGGTCTCCTCCACAGGTTCATCCACACTAAAGCTAGCCTTGGCAAAGCATTTCTGCATTGTTGATCTATGCACCATGTTGACTGCTGATTGAATCTAGGTGACTGCATGAAGAACATTGATGGATTTGGCGACTTGTGAAGCCTGCACACCTTTGGCCATCTCTCCAAGAACCATGCGTAGAAGACTGAAGTGCATCTTAACATTCTTGATGATGCCCTGGTCAAGGGGCTGAAGAATGGATGTGGTGTTAGCTGGGAAAAACACTAACTTGTCATTGGTTAGAGTAGAAATGCTGTGAGGGTGAGCCGGGCGTTGTCCAGAAACAGCAGCACATGCCTGCTCTGTGACCGTATCTTTCTATTAAATGTCTGAAGCCACTCTGTAAAAATGGCACTGGTCATTCATGCCTTTTTGTTGCTATACCATGTGACGGGAGGCTGAGTCTTGATGTTCAATTCCTAAAGGCATGGGGCTTGGCAGCCTTCCCTATCACAACTGAGTGGCCCGAGGCCTAGCCACTGTGTACAGGTTAGTAGCGGAAGGGGATGTTTGTACCGCATTTGTAGTGAAGGAAGATGCTTGTAGGCCGCACATTCTATTGACCCAGCCTGCAATCAATGTCCAATCAATCTTCTAGATGTCTCAAAGTGCTTCACAGAATATACTGTAAAGTGAATTGACTGTATATTTGTTGTCAAAACGTGGCAGCCAATTGCGCACAGCAGTTTCCCATAAACAGTCATGGATTGAGAGACCAAATTATTGCTTCATTTATCTTTTTGAGTGATTATTATCAGGCAAAGGAGTAAGGAAACTTGCCCAAGGTTTCACCCTGCTGGGAATCAAACCCAGGTCTCTCACTTGTGAGACGAGTGCTCCATAGATGCTGCCTGACCCTGACCTACTGTACTCAAACACCACCTCGACATGGGGCTTGACCTCACACCTTCCAACTCAAAAGTGAGAGTGCTACCAACTAAGTCGGATTCACACGTACAGTTAGAGGAAGAATATATATCCTAAAATCTGGGAACATGTGCAGTCAGTTTAGGGAAGTGAAATATTATAGATTTGGTTAAGTGGTTTAACAGAAACTAGAAATGTGCACATTAAATAAATCTTAACATACTGAAAAATATTGATTTTATTTGTGACTTACCTAGGACAAGAACTGGAAATCTAACTGTATAGGTAGCGGTTGCACTTTCAACTATGAATATGTTTATCCCTCTGTGCTTTTCTGTCACTCGAGAAATTGTGATAGTAATTATTTGACTGTAAAAAAGTAAGTTAGAGAAAATCCATTATAATGCAGGAAAAGCAAATTCCATCTTAATATTCAATTTGGTTTTGAAAACTGGTCTTTATTACAACATTCTTGCCTACTGTAATTCCATTTTATTCTCCCTTTTTTAGAAAAATAGGTTTCCTGCAAATAACCAATATTTCATATAAAATAATATATGGAACAGTAAAACATTAAATGTGGACAAACAGTTTTATCCTTCATGTATTACAAAGTGAAAACTAGAAGCAAAATTAATGTGAACCATTAGGAAAAAACATTTATTAATAAGATTGCAACACAATTATGCCCAATTTTAAACATGGCCTACAAAGTAACTAGAATTCAGAATATTACTGTGTTAGTGGTGTAGGTGGTAGGGGTGTTGCTACTAATACAAATATTTGCTATCAACTCTCTCAAGCCAAAGAACGACTGGTCCTAGATATTCCTAGTTGGACAAGCAGAGTAAAGCTTATTAGGCAGTACTTCCAATGGCAAGCCTATGTGTTTTTATCTGGTTAAAGTCCAGCAGTACCTCAACACATATTCTGAGTTCCCTAAGCCTTGGTTCTTGCTAACCTGCTTTATATGTTCCTAATAATATTTACATATGTAGAATTCTCAATCTGGTTTGGTACTTTTATGTATGGTTAAACCATAGGTTTCTGTACGCATCAAATACCTCTCTGACCCCCCAAAAATTGATAAAAATAAACTAAAGGGAAGGAAGATATGGTTTATTTAAACCCGCAATTTGTTTGACGATTTATGCCACTTGAGCCATATATGAGTCTTCACATTTCCTCTAAAAAAAACATTTTTACTTTATGGTCAAATTTCCCAGACCTTAAAGAAATGTCAGCAAGTATGAACATTATATATAAATTATTTGTATAGACCTTTCACGTCAGGAGGACATCCCAAGGCGCTGAAACACATTTCACTTTTACTGTTGGTAAATTAGTTTTAAAACTAGCTTCTGTTTTTTTATAGCAAGTATTAATTTGAAATTTCTCAAGTCGAGACAAAATGAAACTCAGTTCGATCCACCCTTTCCCCTTTACTGAGGTGTTAGTTTCCTGATGGCATCCCTGTTTAACATAATACAGTAATATGGCAACAATCTTAGATTGGATCATCTAACCTACCTAACCTACTCTATCTAATTTCCCACAAAACTCCTTTGATACCTCTAAATCTAACAACCCTGAATACTTTCAGAGTATTACATAAAGCCTAATGAATGTTGCATCTCAGCTACATGATATGATTTGGGGGAGGGAAGGAAGAGTGGAAGGTAGTAGCTTATAATTGTTGACATACTGTATTTAAATTTGGGGATACCTTGAAAAAGCTCCAATACGTAGACTAACAAAGTGATAATTTCAGAGATAATAATCTTTGTATTTGGTACAGCATCACAACATCTCAAAGCCTTCATGGAATTTTACAGTGAAATGTAGTGGCTGTGTATTTGTACGTGAACTCAGCAACTCAGAATGGTTGGCCACTGGGAGAAACTCCATTATCTTTAAGAAGAGTGCCATGGCACCATTAATGTCCACCAAACAGGCAGATGAGACCTGGGTTTAACCTCATCTGAATGATGGCACCTCTGATAATGCAAAGCTCCTCCAGTACTACACTGTAGTGTCAGCCTAGATTGCAAGCTTAAGGTCCCAATGTGAGGCTTGAACCATGTGCTTCTTACCCAGAGGTGAGAGTACTACTAACTGAACCATCTTAACATCAGATGGAAATATGGGGGTCTAAAAGGATTTCTTAATATTGACTCAGAGTCATAATTGGGAATTCCTTCTGGCAACTAGAAACATATCACACTGGCCTACGGAAAGACTCAAGTCCAACAGTCTAGTTTTGGCCACTGGGAGAAACTCCATTATCTTTAAGAAGAGTGCCATGGCACCATTAATGTCCACCAAACAGGCAGATGAGATCTGGGTTTAACCTCATCTGAATGATGGCACCTCTGATAATGCAAAGCTCCTCCAGTACTACACTGTAGTGTCAGCCTAGATTGCAAGTAGGGTTCACATGGAACTGCGGGACATATTTTTTCTTGCTGCAAGGACTTGGTAGTTTGGAATCCTTTTTACAAAATTCCATTTGAAGTCTCTATGTTTTACACTCCATTCTTTTCTTTGATCAACTTATTATTTGTGCAACTGACTGCCACAATGGACTTGCTTACAACAACAACAATAACTTGAACATATATAACATTCTCTATGCAGGGTAGCGTCTCAGAGTGCTTAACAGTGGCAGAGCCTGACTCTGATGGTGGGGGGGAGATGGCTGTTAGCACGGTTGAAGAGGAAGATCTTCACGCTGGACTTGAAAAAGGGAAGAGAAGGGGCAAGACACAGGGATTGAGGGAGAGTATTCCAGAGTTTCGGGACATAGTGGCTGAAAGTACGACCTCCGATGGTGGGGTGGTGGGTGTGAGGGACAAGCAGGAGGCCGTTGCCAGTCGAGCGGAGGCACTGGGTGGTGGATTGGGGAGTGAGGAGGTCGGAGACGTAGGGAGGTGCCAGGGAGTGAATGAATTTGAACACGAGTGTGTGGATCTTGAAGTCAATCCGTTCAGTGATGGGGATTCAGTGGAGTCTGGCCAGAACTGGTGAGATGTGGGTACAGTTTGGTCAAGGTCAGTATGCTGATGGCAGAGTTAATAATAATAAATAATAATAATAATCCTTGCATTTGATATAGCGCTTTTCACATCTTTTAGACGTCTCAAAGCGCTTCACAGAATATGCTGTAAAGTGAATTGACTGTATATATGTGGGCAAAAGTTCTGGATGAGCTGAATTTTTTGAATAGTAATCCAAGCGGGAGGCGACAAAAGCATGCACGAGAGATTTGACTGCATTTATGGTAAGTTATGGTCAGAGGTGGGCAATGTGGCGGAGGTGGAAGAAGGCGGTCCTGGTAAGGGACCAGGTGTGGGGAAGGAAGGACAGCTGGGGGTCATCTGGACGCCTAGATTGCACGCTGGTTCGGTGAGTCTGAGGGAGAGCCCAGGGAGGTTGAGGAGTTTTGATCCACAGGAGTGAAGACGTTAATGGGAACCAATGAGTATGGCTTCCGTCTTGTCCACATTCAGTTGCAGGAAGTTTACACTCATCCAGGCCCTGATGTCTGCTAGACAAGCTGATAGAACATTGCTGGACCTGGAGTTATGAACATACTTGTGAACTTATTTATTTTAAAAAGAGTCTGCTATAGAGCTAGGGGAAAGGGCAGGTAAATGAGACTGAAAGGATTTTTCTTGAGGGAGCTGGCACAGGCATGATGGGCTGAATGGCCTTTTTCTGCTAATAAATTTCTATGGTTGTATGATCAAATCTTCAGTCACTATGGATGTTTGGTAGGGCTTGTTTTCTACTTGTACCTACAATAATATGTGCAATAAACATTATAATGGCAAAAACCTTTTGTCTCTATACTTGTCAAACATAATGCTTACAGAAAGTGACTTTGTCTCACAAAATTGTCAGGAATGAACAGTTCATGTTCTCATTGTACTGATGATTAGATAGCATTGCCACGGTACCTCTATTGTGCAAAAAGCAAAGCAAATACCTGTTGTTTGTGCAGTCATTCACATTGCACTGAGTTCGGAGGTAAGTGTAGTTCAAGTGACAGGATAGATTCCCAGAAATATTCAAGATCATTTTCAATGTTAGAGTATCCAATATTTCCACTTCCACTTGGCTGACATTAACCTGAAATTCTTTTTAATGGGAAAGAAAATTGTTTTATTTTATAAAACATTAAATGATGTCCAGTAGAATTGCTTTTTTTAAAAAACATCATTTCGTATCAGAAATTACTTAATGCTTACCATTAATTTTGTAAGACTGAAAGTGTCTATCTGTTAACCTTTTGCTGTCTAAGCAAAATTGGTTTTGACCAAGATTTTCACTTGTGGCAAATGTCTGTATGAAGAAAATTAAAAGTTAATATACTATCGTATGTTTCTTTTTATATCTATCATCATGATGTATACTTTAAACCAGAAATTAATTTTGAAAAACAGCCTGATTAACTCCTATTCACTGTTATTTGAGGGTCAATTTCAGAGATCAAATTTTCAATTATTAAATATTAAAGTATAAATATTAAAACTAATGGCTTGATATTGCGTCATCAATTGTCAACTGAAGGCAGTTTAGCTCAATTGATGACTACGTATAACATTTGTACTGAATCCATACTATTAGTAAATCATATCAACCTGCAAAAACACTGTTCTATTTCTGTAGTTTCTGCAGCTCAGTGGGAATTCTAATGCAATTTCTAATGCAAAACTTCTTATTAAGTAATCCCATGAAGAAATTCCACAAATGATACTGGCATTTAGTGCTGTATACAGGTTTTCTGTCACCGTGATAAACAGTCTTATGTTTTCCCCTTTTGTAAATACCACAACGTAGGCAAGTAAATGTAAAGAATTAAATGCAAAGAAGTCCTCAAGGAATAATTGAATTAATGCTGTAGTCAGCTAAGAGGTGTACTTTGCGGTATTTCTTAATGGAATTAATTAATAAGAAATTCTGTTGGAAATCTCATTAGAATTCCCATTACCCGTATGAACTCTGCTTCAAATATAGATTGGGTCAGAGTTGTGTGATATACTTCTAGCTAACAGTAGATGCCCCTATTTGTGCGACTTGGATTCCTGATTAAGGAAAAAATATTAAGGAAAATGCCTCATTTTCTCATTGTTATTTTCATTAATGTTCTATTCATTGATGTACAAATTGAGAGGAAGTTGCACTCCTAAAGTCCACCGTTTAATTCTAAAAATTACAGTTGTATCAACATTGCCTTACCATGTTTAATATCTCTTCCGATTCCAGATGGTTTTCTTTAGAGGAGTAGACCAGAATGCCTTCAATTTGAGATGTTGTTTCTTTTATTGTTTGTTCAGAGATGATAGGAAATGCAGCATTGGCAACTGTTAATGAAAAAATTCTATAGTAAATGTTAAGCATGTAGTTATTTATATTCTTCCTCAATACTTCTCATATTTCTACCCACTCATACTCGAAAGACAAGATAGTTTTCTGATGATACGTGTAGTTAGGCAGTTTACAGTTTCAATGCTTTTCAATGTGAGCTTTTGTACAGCAACTGTTAGGAATGATAGTGCCATATTGTATATCATAATAGGAAATCTATCTCACAATCTCTCAAACTTCTTGTTAGTAAATTAATAATAAATAATCCTTGAATTCGATATAGTGCCTTTCACATTATGAGGATATCTCAAAGTGCTTCACAGGATTTACTATAAGGTGCAGTGACTGTATTTGTAGACAAAGTCGGAAGCCAATTTGCGCACAGCATTGTCCCACAAACAGCCAAGTGAATGGTCAATTTTAACTGGGGAATCTTGGATAGGACATGGGAGAACTATTATTTTCAAATGGTGCCTATTTCTTTGAATTTGGGTCCATGAGTCCTTGTATCAAGAAAATGGATGAAGATCTTATCTGAAAGGATGGCTCCCATGCTTGCTCTGTTCAATTTTGGAGAGTCAGCCTAAGTTATGAATTCAAGTTCAAGTTTTTTTTAGATACAGGTATATTTATTTGTATTGTATCTGTTAAAAAATAATGTATTTGGGAAAATACTGCTTAATATTGGCAATCATATTATATCTTAGGACCATCTACAAAGCTTGGAATGCAATATGAGGGATAAAATAAGAGTAAATGGGTAAACAATACAATATAAATTAAATTTGTATAGTGCCTTTCGCATCGCGAGGGCGTCCCAAGGCGCTGGACAGTCAAGCATTTGGACATGAGTTGGGGGTTGGGATCGGGAGGGTGAAAGGGAGGGTAGGAGGATGGCCAAAGGCTTCGTCGAAGAGGAGGGGTTTGAGACATGCCTTGAAGGAGGCAAGGGAGGGAGCAAGGTGAAGGGAATGTGGGATGGAGTTCCATAAGTTAGGGATGGAAAGACTGAAGGCTCGACCGCTGATGGTGGAGCAGGTCGGCCAGGGGACATGAAGCCTGCTGAGCAGAGGGAGTGGATAGGTTGATATGGGATCAGCAGGTCACAGAGGTAGGGAGGGACAAGGCCATGGAGGGCCTTGAAGGCGAGGACAAGGATTTTGAACTCTATCTTCTGGGGATGGGGAGCCAGTGGAGCTGGGCATGATGGGGTCACAGTATCTGGTGTAGGAGAGGACACGAATTCTGGATGATCTGCAGCTTGTGGAAGGAAGAGTTGGGAAGGCCACAAATCAGGAATTTGCCTTAGTCGAGCCTAGATGTGATGAGTGCGTGGATGAGGGTTTCGGCGGCCTGACGGATGAGGCAATGACGGAGCTGGGCAATGTTGTGAAGGTGGGGCAAAATAGAGAGGGTCATGGCGCAGATGTGGGGTAGTTGAGGCTCAAACAAGATGTCAAGATTCCAGACTGACTTAACATGGCAGAGTGTGGATGATGATGGTGTGGAGACGCTGAGTGAGAGCCTCAGTCTTGTTGAAGTTCAACTGTAGAAAGTTTAGTTCTCATCCAGGACTTGATGTCCAACAGACATTCTGTCGGCACAGCAGTCGTTCTGGAGTCGAGGGTGGAGGCAGAGAGATAAAGTTGGGTGTCATCAGCATACATGTGGAAGTTGATCCCATGTCTGTGGATGATGTCACCAAGAACGAGCATATAGATATGGAAGAGGAGGGGACCAAAGACAAAGCCCTGAGGAGCTTTGCAAAGACGGTGCGGGGGCTAGAGGAAAAACCGTTTGTGGAGATGAAGTGGAGGCGGTGTGAGTGATAGAATCTGAACTATTCAAGGACAGAACCATGAAGATTGAGGTGAGAGGAGAGGCGGTGGAGGAAGATAGATTGATCAACGTATCGAAGGTAGCAAAGAGGTCAAGGAGGACCAAGCGGCAGAAGGAGTCCTGGTCACAGATGGAATGGGCAGAATCGATGAGGATAATAGCCTGGAAACATTTACAGTAGAAAGTACCTAGCTGTTAAATATTCATATATTTCACATAAATATGGTCCATTGTCACTAATTGGAGAAGATTATGATAACATGAATGGGTATTTCTACCCATAATCTGCGGCAATAGGAAAGTGCGGCCGCATTGTTCCCGCTACAAACAGTGCCTCTGCTATAAACCTCCTAAAAAGTGAAGTTTCCGGCCCCAGGCCTCTCACGCTGTTTACCCAACACGACTGGGCATGTAGGCATGTTGCTGCGTGAATGGGAAATGGGCTTCGCTCCATTTGGAGGCCCCGCTGTTGTGATTGTCTGTCTTTTTCTCCATGTGTTTATGAGTGGATGTGTGAGTTTGTCTCTCTCATCTGGTGTGTGTTTGTGAGTGTCTGTATGTGAGTATTTCTCTCTCCTCTCTATGTGTTTGTGAGTGTCTCCTCTGTGTGTCTGTTTGTGAGTGTCCTTGTGAGTTTGTCTGTGTGTCCCTGTGTGTTTGTGAGTGTCTCTGTCTGAGTGTGTGTGTCTCTCTCCTCTGTAGTGTTGGTGAATGTGTCTGTGTCTCTTTCTCTCGATGTTTGTGAGTGTATGTGTGAGTGTCTCTCTGTCCTCTGTGTGTGTGTCTGTTTGTGAGTGTCTCTGTGTGAGTGTGTCTGTGGCTCTATCCCTTCGGGTCTGCACTGGTGTACCCCCTCCCCCAAATGGATCACCCAGTTTTTGTTAAAGAAGAAATTTTTTTAAAATTCAACAATCTAATATGTGTCATTTCCTCAGGTTTAATTTTTAATCAATAAAATGAAAAAGATGCAGGTTGGCAGTAAAATGTACCTCAATAGCACCAACCGACCCCGCCCCTCCGCCCTGCAATTATCTGCAAGGTTCAGCAAATATCCCCGCAATTTCCGCAAATATTTCTGCACTTTTTTTTATTGGCCCAGCGCATAATTCACTGTTCTACCCAATTCATGATTTTGTTGGAGTGGAACTTCATGATGTCACAAGAGGGAAGTCCGACATTAAATGTCTGTTTTCAGATTGCTCACAGTAAAAAATAAGGGAACTCGGGTTGACTGAGAGGCAAGAATAAGTGCACATAAGTTATGTGTTATCATAATACTTAGTATTATGGTCAATTCTGTAGAACAGACTTTCCATTTAATTGTGGCTGGATTGTATTTCTGTGTAGCTCATGTGGCCACATCTCACGCAGAACAAATGGATGAAAGAGTAAAAATTTGATTTAAGACATGCTAATTATTGCAAGTGATAATTAGCGTATCAATGATAAATGTGATCAACGAAGCCGATCATTAACTGAAGACAGTCAATAAATAATGATCGGCCACAGATGTGTTTTCTCTCTCTCCGCCCCCTCATGGACTCCTCACATTCTGGCTGTCACATGCCATATGTGATACACATGGCATGTGACATGTGTCTCCTTGGAGCTAGACTGGCTCCAAGGTACCATAAAACAGAAGTCGCTGGGAACACTCAGTAGGTCAGGCAGCATCTATGGAGAAAGGAAAGGGAGTCAAAGTTTCGGGTCCACAACCCTTCGTCAGAACTGGGGCATGTTAGGAGGGAGAGGCTTTTAAGAGCTAACAGAAATAGGGGAGGCAGGGCAAGGAAGACAAAGGAGAAAATGGGGCAGAGGACAGGGGAGGATGGGTTAAAGAGGTGTTAATGATTCAAAACAAAGTGGGGGGGGTGGATTGTAACAAACAGGGCAATAGAGGTGGTAATAATGCAAAATATTGGTGGTGGGGGGTGGAAATTGCAACAAGAGAGACCAGAGAGAGAAAAGGTGAAAAAGGTCCAAGGTGACATGCCTGGCAATAGAATGTCAGAATTGATCCAACCCTCTGTGGCGATCTCGGTAGTCCGGTTCCTAAACCAGGCAGGTCCGCAGTATTCCAGGGCACTGCTGATGACAACACAGTCAGCCTGGCTCATCGGCAAGACTTGGAAGGGCAAACCAGTCACTGGAAGCAGGGAGTCATCCCACTCAGCTCCTGTTAATCCGGTAAGCCAAATCTTTAACCGGTAGGATGGTCCTCGCTGGACAAGCAGTAGGAAAGCTTGCCGTACACCAATATCAATGGCAAGCTATGCGGTTTTAGCAGGTTGGACTCCAGAAGTACCCCAACACACACTCTGGGGTCCCCATGCCTTGGCTCTTGTCAATCTGTGCCTTATGCATTTCATAATTAGTCAAATAGGATGCATCCTTCCAGGGAGAGAGTGCGCATTCCATTCTAAAAATCTATCTATTGGATTTCCATGTGTAGGTGGGATGCATGGAAATCTCAGCTTGGTTTGGATACTCTTAAGCATGGTGATGGATTTCTGCAGGTGTCAGACACCCGGCTGCCCCCCAAAAATGTAATGTTTCTATAAGGAGGCTCAGCTCCCATACTGTTGTCCTACATGGGCCAGAAGTGTATTGCCAAAAATGCTTAGGATGCTTCAATTCTACAGAGGAACACAGACACAGAGAATTACGTAGAACATTGCAGCACAGAAACCACTAACTTGGCTTAACTGGTCTATACTCCATAAAAGCCTCTACCGTCAATGGAAGTGAGTGGCCCAATTAGCTTCTCATATCTTCAAAATGGCATACTCTCACCCTGCTGAAGGAAAGAGTCTCAGATGAAAATTGTGGGGCCCAACCCAGATAAGAAAACACCATTCATACAGCATCCATACATAACCTTTTTATGACTGGTTTCAAGTACTTGAGGGCTGAGTGACTGAGATGATGTGGTCTGAAATGCTGTACACTGTCCAGCGCCTTGGGACGTCCTTCTCGACATGAAAGGCGCTATACAAATGTAATCTTGTTGTTGTTGCGGTGGTGGTGGTGGTTTTGTTGAACTACTCCAAAAGCATTGTACAATGCTACTACAATGTATACCTGTAGTAGTTTATTTCCCAGGCCTTTTTCTTCAGTGTTACATCAACCAACAGCTTGAAGCGGTACTTGGAGCTAC